TTTTTTGGATTGTGATTTTTTTATTTGTAAAAACAAACTTAAAACAATAAAGTTAATTTTTCTATTTCTTTTTATTGTGCTTGCTTTTTTTCTTCTTCCTTTTTTAATTTAACTCATAATTTTATTTTGAACTTTTGCTTTTATTATAAATTAATTAATTTTATTATTTCATATTTTTTCGTCATATTTTCCTTCTCAATAACTCATTAATTATATATTTTTTCTTCAATATTTAAAAAGTAGAATTTAAAATGGTGCAAAAGGTACATCAGGCTTAGGTTCTGCTTTAGCAAAGTGCATTAATCTCTCAAATTTAAATTTGAGACTTGAACTTTCGTAAAAACAGTTTATATTTTTTGGATTTTGATTTTTTTATTTGTAAAAACAAACTTAAAACAATAAAGTTCATTTTTCTATTTCTTTTTATTGTGCTTGCTTTTTTTCTTCTTCCTTTTTTAATTTAACTAATTATTTTATTTTGAACTTTTGCTTTTATTATTAATTAATCAATTTTATTATTTCATAATTTTTCTTCATATTTTCCTTGTCAATAGCTCATTAATTATATATTTTTTCTTTAATATTTAAAAAGTGAAAATGGAATTGGTGATGAAGGTGCATCAGGCTTAGGTTCTGCTTTAGCAAAGGGCATTAATCTCTCAAATTTGACACTTTAACTTGAGTAAAAAAAGTTTATTTTTTTTGGATTGTGATTTTTTTATTTGTAAAAACAAACTTAAAACAATAAAGTTAATTTTTTTATTTCTTTTTATTGTACTTGCTTTTTCTTCTTCTTCCTTTTTTAATTTAACTCATTATTTTATTTTGAACTATTGCTTTTATTATTAATTAATCACTTTTATCATTTCATATTTTTTCTTCATATTTTCCTTCTCAATAATTCATTAATTATATATTTTTTCTTCAATATTTAAAAAGCTCCAATAAAATTGGTGATGAAGGTGTATCAGGTTTAGTTTCTGCTTTAGCAAAATGCATTAATCTCTCAAATTTGACACTTTAACTTCAGTAAAAAAAGTTTATTTTTTTGGATTGTGATTTTTTTATTTGTAAAAACAAACTTAAAACAATAAATTTCATTTTTATTTTTCTTTTTATTGTGCTTGCTTTTTTTTCTTCTTCATTTTTTAATTTAACTAATTATTTTATTTTGAACTTTTGCTTTTATTATTAATTAATCAATTTTATTATTTCATAATTTTTCTTCATATTTTCCTTCTCAATAGCTCATTAATTATATATTTTTTCTTCAATATTTAAAAAGTAGAAATTAAATTGGTGATGAAGGTGCATCAGGCTTAGGTTCTGCTTTAGCAAAGTGCATTAATCTCTCAAATTTGACACTTTAACTTGAGTAAAAATAGTTAATTTTTTTTGGATTGTGATTTTTTTATTTGTAAAAACAAACTTAAAACAATAAAGTTCTTTTTTCTTTTTCTTTTTATTGTGCTTGCTTTTTTTTTTCTTCTTTCTTTTTTAATTTAACTAATTATTTTATTTTGAACTTTTGCTTTTATTATTAATTAATCAATTTTATTATTTCATATTTTTTCTTCATATTTTCCTTCTCAATAGCTCATTAATTATATATTTTTTCTTCAATGTTTAAAAAGTGAAAATGGAATTGGTGATGAAGGTGCATCAGGCTTAGGTTCTGCTTTAGCAAAGTGTATTAATCTCTCAAATTTAACACTTAATCTTAAGTAAAAATAGTTTATTCGTTTTGGAGTGATATTTTTAACTATAAAAATGAATATAAAAACATTAAAGTTATTGGAATTTATTTCATATTTTTTATTTATTTTATTTTTTAGCTTTTTTATTCCTTAATGTTATTATATTTAATATTTATTTAAAATTTACACTAATTTATAATAAAAGTGATAATTACATCAATGAAACTTAAGAATTCAAAGTAAAAAGCAAGTGTCTTAAATCTAAAAGATTGGTTGTCTTTAAAATCTGATCATAAAAACGTGGTTAAAAAAGGATGAATAAAAATTAAACGTTAGAATAATTAAATATAATATGTTTTATTAAATAATATTTTGAAAAATATTTTCAACCTAAAATATATATAGATAGATTGTAGATTTTATTATTGTTTTTATATTTATAAATAGAATATTTTTTAAGTTAACAAATAGATTATAAAAAATAAAAAAATTTAAAAATTAAATTTATTTAAATAAATTAATTCCTCTTAAGCCAGACCCAGACCTCGGTTTCACCAAAAATGAACAAAGCTTTTTAAAATTATTAATGTTATATTTTATTTTATTAAATTATATAAATGCCAAGCTTTTAGAGTTAAAATCAAATTAAAATAGTAAAATTTACTAAATAAATTTTTTAAAAGCTTTTAAAAATAAATCTCAACCAACAAAGATTTAGATTGAAATCTGAATCTTTGATGATATTTTACAGAATATTTCTTTATTGAATTCAAAAATATTTTCATTTAATTATAAAATCAAATTTAATAAATTTTTCTTTTTTCTAAAGTATATTTAACAAAATAGCTCAAAAATTAATTAAAATTTGAAATAAAATTTCAAAATTTTTAATAATTTTCCAAAATAAAAGTTAAAAAAATAAAATTTTTTTCATCGCAAGGATTTTTATATTAAAATAATAAGATAAATGTATTTTTAAATTTTAATAACTAAAATAGTTTAAGAATGATTAAAAAAAATAAATAAAAGGAATTTATAATCAAATTAAAAATTTTAATTATAAATAATTAAATTCTAATATCAATATATGTGAATTTGAAAATATTTTTTCATTATTCATTGTTAATATCTACACAGAGTAACCAAAATAGCCTATATTTATTTTGAAAAACTATTGTTTAATCTTCTTTTTATTAGTATAAGTGAGCATTCAATTAATCAGTTTTAGCTTAAGTAATTTTATCATTTTTGTCAATTAGTAATAGCAATAAAAATTGCCAGTTTTAATTTCTTCAGCTTAAATAAAATCATAGAGCTAGTTAAATATTTATTATATAACTCTTATGGTTGCTTATCTTTAAAATTATAGAAAACATTTTCGATCAGTAATATTAAATAAATTTAACTAATAAAAATCCTCTACATTAAAACAAACTTTACAAAAATAAATTATTTTTAAAAGCAAGAAAAAATTTGTCCATTTTTTAAGGATAAAAGTCAATAAATTTTCAACTATTTAAATTTATAGTTTTTGCTTTTTTATTCTAAATTATGATTTGTCGCAGATTTTTGTGAGATAGTTGAATAAATCAATGAAGAAAATTATAAAAGTTATGAATAAATTGGATATATTGATAATTTTTAGGTGATTTATTTAAATGAAATTATTACAAAATATTTTTAATTTTTCTAGATGAAGGACTTAAAAATAATATAAAATTAATAGGTTATATTCCTTGTTTTAAAAGATTGCTAATTTTAAATAAAAATTTATTTAAAAATTTTAAAAATATTAAATCTTTAAGAATTATTATTCTAAAATTAATATTCTAACAAGGCTATAGACTAAAATTTTTCTATTTTATTTAATATATTGTGAAATCATAATCTTATTTATTATTTTTAAACACTGAATAAGAAAAATTGAAAAAATATTAGGATTGTGTTTCTCATACAATAGAAATTTCATTGATCTATTATTCAAAATTTATTTAACATATAAAATAAGATCCATCAACTCGTGTGTGGAATTTTATTTCTTAAACTAATTTTGATTATAAAGTAATCAAAAAAATATCAAAATTATAAATAGAATAATTTAATAAGTGTAAGTTTGCTATTCTAAAATTAATTAAAGAATAAAATTAGAAAAAGAATTTTGCAAAATTAATCAATAAAGAAATAAACTTGAAAATATTTTATGGTTTCAAAAATTCTTTTATCTTTTAAACAAAACTAAAGGAAAATCTACTCATTATTTATGATTTTTTTAGAATCATAAATGTATATACTGATAAAAAAAATGGATAAACTAAATAAATAATACTAATAAGTCTAAATTTGCTATACTAAAACTAAATTAAATCAATAAAAGACAGATTAAAATAATTCAACTAACATATAAATATAAACAAAACTTTTTATATTTTATTTAATCTATTGTGAAACTATAATCTTATTTTTTTTTGAAAACACTAAGTAAGAAAAATTGAAAAATATTAGAACTGTGTTTTTCATATAATAGAAATTTTATTGATCTATGAATAAAACATATCAATCAGATCCATCAACTTGTATGGAAATATTTATTAATTTAATTTGGATTACTTTACACAGAATCCTAAATAGGATTATTTAATAAGTGTAAGTTTGCTATTCTAAAATTAATTAAAGAATAAAATTAGTATAAGAAATTGGCAAAATTAAACAATAAAGATATAAATTTAATAATATTTAATAGTTTTCAAAATGGAAATTCGTTATCTTTTAAACAAAATTAAAGTAAAATCGATTCATTATTAATTATATTTTTCTAATCATACATGAATACACTGATAAAAAAAAACAAATAAATGAAATAAATACCGTAGTAATTCCACACTCGTATCTCGTATCTCGCATAATACGACCGATTTAGTTTTTGGTAAATTTCATGATTTTAAGTTACTCTCGTAATTCGGCTCGGTGCTCTTATTGAGATTTTACGGTAATACTAATAAGTCTAAATTTGCTATTCTAAAACTAAATTAAAACCAATATTATGTAACATATAAATCAGATCCATCAACTTTTATGAAAATATTTAATAATCTAATTTTTATTATAAATTAATCAAAAAATGATCAGAATCCTAAATAGGATAATTTAATAAGTGTAAACTTGCTATTCTAAAATTAATTAAAGAATAAAATTACAATAAGAATTTGGCAAAATTAAACAATAAAGAAATTATAGTTTTCATAATAAATATTTGTTTATCTTTACACAAAAATAAAGCAAAATTTATTCATTATTTATTAATTTTTCTGATCATATTCGTTCTTTAAACAAAACTAAAGTAAAATCTATTGATTATTAAATATTTTTTCTGATCATACACTTATACACTGATTAAAAAAAAATCAGAAAGATTAAATGGAAATAATAAAAAGTCTAAATTTGCTATCCTAAAAGTAAATTAAAATCAATAAATTACAAATTAAAATAATTCAATATATAAATATGAATTCAGATTATATCAAATATTATAAAAATTTTTTAATATTAAACAAATATAATTAATTAGAAAATGAGAAATACACTTTTAATATTTTTAGCATGCATTGTGCTTTCAATAAATGGATTTGACTTTAATATAACAATTGCCTAAATAAATAACACAATAATAACGCCTTCGCTAAATCAAAAATGTGAGGAAAGTTTTTGCTTTGTTGGTGATACTCTTTTAACTGTTTAGTCAGACAGCAAAAGAATTAATTCTATCACTCTATAAGATAGCAGATAAAAATTAACTCTCAAATCCTGCCCTACTTCTAATGTGCTAACTTTTAATAATTATGGTGATAAATTACGACTATTTAATGAAATAGATAATACATGTTATTATTATTCTAATAGTTTTTTTTCAAGTTCAAAACCTCGCTCATGTGGTTTTCATCTTAATGCTTTGTTAGCTGATTAGAAGACTTATCAATACTTTTATGTGAATGTTGATCTTCCAGATTAAAGTGGCTCTCCTAGCTCAACAAATGCATTCTATTTGCAAGTCAGTATGCTAATTTTAACTTTACTATCATTAATTTGAAAAATATAATATATTTAATTTCAGATTGGTTAAATATTAAATTTATTGAACTTCTTAAAATTTATATATTTATTTTATATGGTAATTTTTTAAATAAATTTTTATTTTATTCTATTATATCTTTGAATATATTATTAAATTAAATTATAATACTTATTTTTAAAAAATATATAACAAAACCAACAATAATAATAACATGATAAAGCGAGTATATATTGTATGATACTAATTGATTAGGGGGGGATTAGCGGCGGTTGGTTTGAGAAATGAATGGAACTAATTTTTAAGATTATATCCAATTTTAATATTAAATAATGAATGTTAAATTAATTTTTTATGGTATCTCTTCATAAAAGCAAATTTAGAAATTTATATTTGATAATTAATTATTAAATTTTATTTGTTCTTTTTATATATTTATAATTAATTAAATTCCATAAATTACTATTCAATATTTTAGGGAGAAAAAAATGATATAATAGATTAAATATTACAGAAAATTAGAAGAAGTAATCATTAATTTTTTTATTAATATCCTTTATATTTATTATTATTAATAAAAAAAGTTTTTAAACTCTTCACTTTAATCTCATTAGTTTCTCCATATTGATCTATGGTATATTTAATTTAAAAATATTATTAAATTTTTTTATGTTTACATTACAATTTACTTTAAAAAATAATTTTATAATAGAAATTCTTTTCATTATTCATTCATTAAATTTATACAAACATTTTTTAGTAATTTAAACTTAATTTTGATTTTGATTTTAATTTTTAATTATTTATTATTCATTTTTTATTATTTTATATTTTTTCTTCATTTTTTGCTATTAAGATTTAGACTTATTGTTTATTTATTTTGGATTCTAAAATTTTTAATATTAAAAATTAATTTAAAACATTAAAGCTCTTTTATTTTTTTGATTTATTTTTCTTTGAATTGTGATTGATTGCTTTTTCTTTCTTTCTTTCTTTCTTTCTTTCTTTCTTTCTTTCTTTCTTTCTTTCTTTCTTTCTTTCTTTCTTTCTTTCTTTGTTTCTTTGTTTCTTTGTTTCTTTCTTTTTTTCTTTCTTTCTTTGTTTCTTTGTTTCTTTGTTTCTTTCTATCTTTCTTTCTTTCTTTCTTAATTTAACTAATTATTAAAAAATCTTATTATTTAACATATTTTCTTCATTTTTTCCTTCTAGTTAACTAATTAATTATATATTATTTCTTCAATATTTATAAAGGTCCAAAGAAATTGGTGATGAAAATGCATTAGGCTTAGGTTCTGCTTTAGCAAAGTGCAGTAATCTCTCAAATTTGACACTTAAACTTTAGTAAAAAGAGTTTATTTTTTTTTGATTGTGATATTTTTAATTATCAAAACTATTTAAAAATAATAAAGTTCTTTTTTCATTTTCTTTTTATTGTGCTTACTTTTTTTTCTTCTTCCTTTTTTAATTTAACTCATTATTTTATTTTCAACTTTTACTTTTATTATTAATTAATCTTAATATTTCATATTTTTTCTTCATATTTTCCTTCTCATTAACTAATTAATTTTTTATTTTTTCTTCAATATTTAAAAAGTAGAAATTAAATTGGTGATAAAGGTGCATCAGGCTTAGGTTCTGCTTTAGCAAAGTGCATTAATCTCTTAAATTTGACACTTGTGCTTAGGTAAAAACAGTTTATTTTTTTTGGATTGTACTTTTTTTATTTGTAAAAACAAAGTTAAAACAATAAATCTCATTTTTCTTTTTCTTTTTATTGTGCTTGCTTTTTTTTCTTCTTCCTTTTTAATTTAACTCACCATTTTATTTTTAACATTTTTATTATTAATTAATCAATTTTATTATTTCATATTTTTTCTTCATATTTTCCTTCTCATTAACTAATTAATTATATATTTTTTCTTCAATATTTAAAAAGTTTCAATAAAATTGGTGATGAAGGTGTATCAGGCTTAGGTTCTGCTTTAGCAAAGTGTGTTAATCTCTAAAATTTGAAACTTTAACTTGGGTAAAAACAGTTTATTTTTTTTTGGATTATAATTTTTTTATTTGTAAAAACAAAGTTAAAACAATAAAGCTCTTTTTTCTTTTTCTTTTTATTTTGCTTGCTTTATTTTCTTCTTCCTTTTTAATTTAACTCACCATTTTATTTTGAACTTTTTCTTTTATTATTAATTAATCAATTTTATTATTTCATATTTTTTCTTCATATTTTCCTTCACATTAATTAATTAATTTTTTATTTTTTCTTCAATATTTAAAAAGTTACAATTAAATTGGTGATGAAAGTGCGTCAGGCTTAGGTTCTGCTTTAGCAAAGTGTGTTAATCTCTAAAATTTGAAACTTTAACTTGGGTAAAAACAGTTTATTTTTTTTTGGATTATAATTTTTTTATTTGTAAAAACAAAGTTAAAACAATAAAGCTCATTTTTTTTTTCTTTTTATTGTGCTGGCTTTTTCTTCTTCTTCCTTTTTAATTTAAATCACCATTTTATTTTGAACTTTTTCTTTTATTATTAATAAATCAATTTTATTATTTCATATTTTTTCTTCATATTTTCCTTCTCGTTAACTAATTAATTTTATATTTTTTCTTCAATATTTAAAAAGTCACAACTAAATTGGTGATGAAGGTGCATCAGGCTTAGGTTCAGCTTTAGCAAAGTGCATTAATCTCTCAAATTTGACACTTGAACTTTAGTAAAAACAGTTTATTTTTTTTGGATTATGATTTTTTTATTTGTAAAAACAAAGTTAAAACAATAAAACTCATTTTTCTTTTTCTTTTTATTGTGCTTGCTTTTTTATCTACTTCCTTTTTAATTTAATTCATCATTATATTTTGAACTTTTTCTTTTATTATTAATAAATCAATTTTATTATTTCATATTTTTTCTTCATATTTTCCTTCTCATTAACTAATTAATTTTATATTTTTTCTTCAATATTTAAAAAGTCACAACTAAATTGGTGATGAAGGTGCATCAGGCTTAGGTTCAGCTTTAGCAAAGTGCATTAATCTCTCAAATTTGACACTTATGCTTGAGTAAAAACAGTTTATTTTTTTTGGATTGTGATTTTTTTTATTTGTAAAAACAAACTTAAAACAATAAAGCTCATTTTTCTTTTTCTTTTTATTGTGCTTGCTTTTTTTTCTTATTCCTTTTTAATTTAAATCACCATTTTATTTTGAACTTTTTCTTTTATTATGAATTAATCAATTTTATTATTTTATATTTTTTCTTCATATTTTCCTTCTCATTAACTAATTAATTTTTGATTTTTCCTTCAATATTTAAAAAGTGGCAATTAAATTGGTGATGAAGGTGCACCAGGCTTAGGTTCTGCTTTAGCTAAGTGCATTAACCTCTCAAATTTGAAACTTGGGCTTGCGTAAAAACATTTAATTTTTTTTGGATTGTGATCTTTTTTATTTGTAAAAACAAACTTAAAACAATAAAGCTCATTTTTCTTTTTCTTTTTATTGTGCTTGCTTTTTTTCTTCTTCCATTTTAATTTAACTCACCATTTTATTTTGTACTTTTTCTTTTATTATTAATTAATTAATTTTATTATTTTATATTTTTTATTCATATTTTCCTTCTTAATTAATTTTTTATTTTTCTTTCAATATATAAAAAGCTGCAATTTAATTGGTTATGAAGGTGCATCAGGCTTAGGTTCTGCTTTAGCAAAGTGCATTAATCTCTCAAATTTGACACTTGAACTTTAGTAAAAACGGTTTATTTATTTTGGATTGTGTATTTTTAATTATAAAGCGAATTTAAAATAATAAAGCTCTATTTTCTTTTTCTTTTTATTATGCTTGCTAGCTTTTATTTCTTCTTTCTTTGTTAATTTAGCTCATTATTTTATTTATTTTGAACTTTTGATTTTATTATTAATTAATCAGTTTTATTATTTCATATTTTTTCTTCAAATTTTCCTTCTCATTAACTAATTAATTATATATTTTTTCTTCAATATTTAAAAAGTGGAAATTAAATTGGTGATAAAGGTGCATCAGGCTTAGGTTCTGCTTTAGCAAAGTGCATTAATCTCTCAAATTTGAAACTTGAACTTTCGTAAAAACAGTTTATTTATTTTGGATTGTGATATTTTTAATTATAAAGCGAATTTAAAATTATAAAGCTCTATTTTCTTTTTATGATGCATACTAGCTTTTTTTTCTTCTTCCTTTATGATTTAACTCACCATTTTATTTTGTACTTTTTCTTTTATTATTAATTAATTAATATTATTATTTTATATTTTTTATTCATATTTTCCTTCTTAATTAATTTTTTATTTTTCCTTCAATATATAAAAAGCAGTAATTCAATTGGTAATGAAGGTGCATCAGGCTTAGGTTCTGCTTTAGCAAAGTGCATTAATCTCTCAAATTTGAAACTTTGGCTTGAGTAAAAACAGTTTATTTTTTTTTGGATTGTGATTTTTTTATTTGTAAAATCAATCCTATAACAATAAAGCTCATTTTTCTTTATCTTTTTATTGTGCTTGCTTTTTTTTCTTCTTCCTTTTTAATTTAACTCACCATTTTATTTTGTACTTTTTCTTTTATTATTAATTAATTAATATTATTATTTTATATTTTTTATTCTTATTTTCCTTCTTAATTAATTTTTTATTTTTCCTTCAATATATAAAAAGCAGTAATTCAATTGGTAATGAAGGTGCATCAGGCTTAGGTTCTGCTTTAGCAAAGTGCATTAATCTCTCAAATTTGACACTTGTGCTTCAGTAAAAACAGTTTATTTTTTTTTGGATTGTGATTTTTTTATTTGTAAAATCAAACTTAAAACAATAAAGCTCATTTTTCTTTTTCTTTTTATTGTGCTTGCTTTTTTTTCTTCTTCCTTTTTAATTTAACTCACCATTTTATTTTGTACTTTTTCTTTTATTATTAATTAATTAATATTATTATTTTATATTTTTTATTCATATTTTCCTTCTTAATTAATTTTTTATTTTTCTTTCAATATATTAAAAGCTGCAATTTAATTAGTTATGAAGGTGCATCAGGCTTAGGTTTTGCTTTAGCAAAGTGCATTAATCTCTCAAATTTGACACTTGAACTTTAGTAAAAACGATTTATTTATTTTGGATTGTGTATTTTTAATTATAAAGCGAATTTAAAATAATAAAGCTCTATTTTCTTTTTCTTTTTATTATGCTTGCTAGCTTTTATTTCTTCTTTTTTTGTTAATTTAGCTCATTATTTTATTTATTTTGAACTTTTGATTTTATTATTAATTAATCAGTTTTATTATTTCATATTTTTTCTTCATATTTTCCTTCTCATTAACTAATTAATTATATATTTTTTCTTCAATATTTAAAAAGAAGAAATTAAATTGGTGATGAAGGTGCATCAGGCTTAGGCTCTGCTTTAGCAAAGTGCATTAATCTCTCAAATTTGACACTTGTGCTTATGTAAAAACAGTTTATTTTTTTTGGATTGTGATTTTTTTTTATTTGTATAAACAAACTTAAAGCAATAAAACTCATTTTATTTTTCTTTTTATTGTGCTGGCTTTTTCTTCTTCTTCCTTTTTAATTTAACTCACCATTTTATTTTTAACATTTTTATTATTAATTAATCAATTTTATTATTTCATATTTTTTCTTCATATTTTCCTTCTCATTAACTAATTAATTATATATTTTTTCTTCAATATTTTAAAAGTGGCAATTAAATTGGTGATGAAGGTGCACCAGGCTTAGGTTCTGCTTTAGCTAAGTGCATTAACCTCTCAAATTTGAAACTTTATCTTGAGTAAAAACAGTTTATTTGTTTTAGATTGTGATATTTTAAATTATAAAAACAAACTTAAAACAATAAAGCTCATTTTTCTTTTTCTTTTTATTGTGCTTGCTTTTTTTTCTTCTTCCTTTTTAATTTAAATCACCATTTTATTTTGAACTTTTTCTTTTATTATTAATTAATCAATTTTATTATTTTATATTTTTTCTTCATATTTTCCTTCTCATTAACTAATTAATTTTTTATTTTTCCTTCAATATTTAAAAAGTGGCAATTAAATTGGTCATAAAGGTGCATCAGACTTAGGTTCTGCTTTAGCAAAGTGCATTAATCTCTCAAATATGACACTTTAACTTTCGTAAAAACAGTTTATTTATTTTGGATTGTGATATTTTTAATTATAAAACGAATTTAAAATAATAAAGCTCTATTTTCTTTTTCTTTTTATTATGTTTGCTAGCTTTTATTTCTTCTTTCTTTGTTAATTTAGCTCATCATTTTATTTATTTTTAACTTTTGATTTTATTAATAATTAATCAATTTTATTATTTCATATTTTTTCTTCATATTTTCCTTCTCATTAACTAATTAATTTTTGATTTTTTCTTCAATATTTAAAAAGTAGAAATTAAATTGGTGATAAAGGTGCATCAGGCTTAGGTTCTGCTTTAGCAAAGTGCATTAATCTCTCAAATTTGACACTTGGGCTTGGGTAAAAACATTTTATTTTTTTTGGATTGTGATTTTTTTTATTTGTAAAAACAAACTTAAAACAATAAAGCTCATTTTTCTTTTTCTTTTTATTGTGCTTGCTTTTTTTTCTTCTTCCTTTTTAATTTAACTCACCATTTTATTTTGAACTTTTGTTTTATTATAAATTAATTAATTTTATTATTTCATATTTTTTCTTCATATTTTCCTTCTCATTAACTAATTTATTATATATTTTTTCTTCAATATTTAAAAAGTTCCAATAAAATTGGTGATGAAGGTGCATCAGGCTTAGGTTCTGCTTTATAAAACTGTATTAAACTCTCAAATTTAACACTTGTCCTTAAGTAAAAATAGTTCATTTGTTTTGGAGTGATATTTTTAACTATAAAAATGAATATAAAACAATAAAGTTATTAGAATTTATTTCATATTTTTTATTTATTTTATTTTTTAGCTTTTTTATTCCATTAATGTTATTTTACTTAATATTTATTTAAAATTTACACTAATTTATAATAAAAGTGATAATTAAATTAATGAAATGTAACAATTCAAAGTAAAAAGTTAGTATCTTAAATCTAAAAGATTGGTTGTCTTTGAAATAAAACTCTGATAATAAAAAAGTGGCTAAAAAAGGATAAATAAAAACTAAATGTTTGAATAATTAAATATAATATGTTTTATTAAATAATACAGATGTTTCAAATAAAGTAACCCGCGCCTTTTGTTTTTATTTAGATTTTTAATTAATTTTTTTTTTTTGGTAGAACTTTTTGAAAATCTATAATTTTATACTAATTTTCCAAATTTCTATTATATATTTGCATTTAGAAGATTCACATTTTCTGATTAAATGTATGAAAAGAACATTTTTATTAATAAATAATTAAACTTCAAATAAAAAAGAAATATTTATTTTTATTTATTATTTAATAAAAACTATTATCAAAGGGGGAAAGGTGCGCTTCATATTAATTTTTATTTTCAAATCTATGTTGATTGTGTTATCTAGTTTTAATTAATATTAAAATTTTTGAAGTGATTATTATTAATGACTTTTTATCAAAATTGAAGATAAAATAGTTGGAATGAAAACTTTAAGCGCATAATTTCCCCCTTACTATCATAGAATTTCTTCTTTTAGTTTTGGAATATTATTATTATTTTGCTATTTTATTAAATTTTTAATGAAAAACTAAAAACTAATATTTCAGTACTAATAAGATTTAAGATATTTTTTTTTGCTTGATTAAAGTATAATTTTTTAATAGTATGATATGAAAAAAGATTTATATAATTAAAAACATACAATTTTTTATCATTTCTAATATTTATCATTTATAATTAATTTTGAGATAGCTAATTTAGGCACTTATTAATTTTATTAATTTAAGATTTTTGATCATTTTTGATTGCTTATCAGAAAAAGATTAAATTTTTCAATATATAAATATAAATATCTAGCTAAATATATTTAAATTATTTAATAAAATATAAACAAAATTTTTGAGAAAACGAGGAATCAAATTCCATTTTTAATTTTATATAAAATATACATTTCAGAATTTGATTTTGGTTTATAAAAATTAAATTTGTATTATTTTGAATAATTCTGATCCTAATTTTATTATTTTACTTGTTTTAGAATGAAAAATTATAAAATACTAATTTAAATTAGGTATCTGATATTATCTTTTGCTTGATATATAAATCATCTGATAAGTTTATGATAAGAAAATTTTAATCAATAAAAACATTTCGATTGAATTAATAGCATAAAATTTTTTATCATTTCTAATATTTATCATTTATAATTAATTTTGAGATAGCTAATTTAGGCACTTATTAATTTTATTAATTTAAGATTTTTGATCATTTTTGATTGCTTATCAGAAAAAGATTAAATGGAAATATTTATTTATTAATTTAATTTTGATTGTAAAGTAATCAAAATTAGATCAAAATCCTAAATAGGATAATTTAATAAGTGTAAGCTTGCTATTCTAAAATTAATTAAAGAATAAAATTACAATAAGAATTTGGCAAAATTAAACAATAAAGAAATTATAGTTTTCGTAATAAATATTCGTTTATCTTTCAAAAAAATAAAACATAACCTATTCATTATTTATTAATTTTTCTGATCATATTCGTTCTTTAAACAAAACTAAAGTAAAATCTATTGATTATTAACTATTTTTTCTTATCATACACTTATACACTGATAAAAAAAAAATCAGAAAGATTAAATAGATATAAATATGAATTCAGATTATATCAAATATTATAAACATTTTTTAATATTAAACAAATATAATTAATTAGAAAATGAGAAATACACTTTTAATATTTTTAGCATGTATTGTGCTTTCAATAAATGGATTTGACTTTAATATAACAATTGCCTAAATAAATAACACAATAATAACGCCTTCGCTAAATCAAAAATGTGAGGAAAGTTTTTGCTTTGTTGGCGATACTCTTTTAACAGTTTAGTCAGACACCAAAAGAATTAATTCTATCACTCTATAAGATAGCAGATAAAAATTAACTCTCTTATCCTGCCCTTCTTCTAATGTGCTAACTTTTAATAATTATGGTGTTAAATTACGACTATTTAATGAAAAAGATAATACATGTTATTATTATTCTAATCATTTTTTTTCAAGTCAAAGGTCTCCTCGCTCATGTGGTTTTCATCTTAATGCTTTGTTAGCTGATTAGAAGACTTATCAATCCTTTTATGTGAATGTTAATCTTCCAGATAAAAGCGACTCTTCTAGCTCAACAAATGCATTCTATTTGCAAGTCAGTATGCTAATTTTAACTTTACTATCATTAATTTGAAAAATATAATATATTTAATTTCAGACTGGTTAAATATTAAATTTATTGAACTTCTTAAAATTTATATATTTATTTTATATGGTAATTTTTTAAATAAATTTTTATTTTATTCTATAATATCTTTGAATATATTATTAAATTAATTAAATTATAATACTTATTTTTAAAAAATATATAACAAAACAAACAATAATAATAACATGATAAAGCGAGTATATATTGTATGATACTAATTGACTAATTTTTAAGATTATGTCCAATTTTAATATTTAATAATGAATGTTAAATTAATTTTTTATGGTATCTCTTCATAAAAGCAAATTTATAAATTTATATTTGATAATTAATTATTAAATTTTATTTGTTCTTTTTATCCATTTATAATTAATTAATTAAATTCCTTAAATTACTATTCAATATTTTAGAAAAAAAAAATGATATAATAGATTAAAAAATATGACAGATTAGAAGAAGTAATTATTTATTTTTTTATTAATATCCTTTATATTTATTATTATTAATAAAAAAAGTTTTTAAACTCTTCACTTTAATCTCATTAGTTTCTCCATATTAATCTATAGAATATGTACTTTAAAAATATTATTAAATTTTTTTATGTTTACATTGCAATTTATTTTAAAAAATAATTTTATAATAGAAATTCTTTTCATTATTCATTTATTGTTTTTTATACAAACATTTTTTAGTAATTTGAACTTAATTTTAATTTTTAATTTTTAATTATTGATTATTCATTTTTTATTATTTTATATTTTTTCTTCATTTTTTGCTATTAAGATTTAGACTTATTGTTTATTTATTTTGGATTCTAATATTTTTAATTATAAAAATTAATTTAAACCATTAAAGCTCTTTTAATTAATTTGATTTATTCTTCTTTCAATTGTGCTTGATTTTCTTTCTTTCTTACTTAATTTAACTAATTATTAAAAAATCTTATTATTTAACATATTTTTTTCATTTTTTCCTTCTAATTAAATAATCAATTATATATTATTTCTTCAATATTTAAAAAGTGGCGATTAAATTGGTGCAATGGGTGAATCAGGCTTTGGTTCTGCTTTAGCAAAGTGCATTAATCTCTCAAATTTGACACTTGAACTTTAGTAAAAACAGTTTTTTTTTTTTGGATTGTGATTTTTTTATTTATAAAAACAAACTTAAAATAATAAAGCTCATTTTTCATTTTCTTTTTATTGTGCTTGCTTTTTTTCTTCATCCTTTTTTAATTTAAACCATTATTTTATTTTATTTTGAACTTTTGCTTTTATTATTAATAAATCAATTTTATTATTTCATATTTTTTCTTCATATTTTCCTTCTCTTTAATTAATTGGTTATATATTTTTTCTTCAATATTTAAAAAGTCTCAATAAAATTGGTGATGAAGGTGCATTAGGCTTAGGTTCTGCTTTAGCAAAGTGCATTAATCTCTCAAATTTGACACTTGAACTTTAGTAAAAACAGTTTATTTTTTTTTGGATTGTGATTTTTTTATTTATAAAAACAAACTTAAAATAATTAAGCTCATTTTTCTTTTTCTTTTTATTGTGCTTGCTTTTTTTCTTTTTTTCTTCATATTTTCCTTCTCTTTAATTAATTAGTCATATATTTTTTCTTCAATATTTAAAAAGTCTCAATAAAATTCGTGATGAAGGTGCATTAGGCTTAGGTTCTGCTTTAGCAAAGTGCATTAATCTCTCAAATTTGACACTTTTTCTTAAGTAAAAACAGTTTATTTTTTTTGGATTGTGATTTTTTTTATTTGTAAAAACAAACTTAAAACAATAAAGCTCAAGAGAATTTACAATCGGAGCGTTTATGGGCTAATAGGTCCTAAATTTTAACTGTTGCATTTTTCAAACGCTTCATTGAAAGCTATTTTATCAACAATAGTAGAGGTTTTAAAAAAAAATTTATTTATAAAATATTTATTGTAAAAAATATATTTTTTTAAAGTTATTTTTAAAAATTCTCTTAAAAAAAAAAAAAACATAATTTTATTTTTCATTTTATTGTGCTTTCTTTTTTTTCTTCTTCCTTTTTTAATTTAACCCATTATTTTATTTTATTTTTTTTATTTTGAACTTTTGCTTTTATTATTAATTAATCAATTTTATTATTTCATATTTTTTCTTCATATTTTCCTTCTCTTTAATTAATTATATATTATTTCTTCAATATTTAAATAGTCAAAATTAAATTGGTGCAATGGGTGCATCAGGCTTAGGTTCTGCTTTAGCAAAGTGTATTAATCTCTAAAATTTGACACTTAGGCTTGAGTAAAAACTGTTTATTTTTTTTTGGATTGTGATTTTTTTATTTGTAAAAACAAACTTAAAACAATAAAGCTCATTTTTATTTTTCTTTTTATTGTGCTTGCTTTTTTTTCTTCTTCCTTTTTTAATTTAAACCATTATTTTATTTTATTTTGAACTTTTGCTTTTATTATTAATTAATCAATTTTATTATTTCATATTTTTTCTTCATATTTTCCTTCTCTTTAATTAATTAGTTATATATTTTTTCTTCAATATTTAAAAAGTCTCAATAAAATTGGTAATGAAGGTGCATCAGGCTTAGGTTCTGCTTTAGCAAAGTGCATTAATCTCTCAAATTTGACACTTTCACTTTTGTAAAAACAGTTTATTTTTTTTGGATTGTGATTTTTTTATTTGTAAAAACAAACTTAAAACAATAAAACTAATTTTTCTTTTTCATTTTATAGTGCTTGTTTTTTCTTCTTCTTCTTCCTTTTTTAATTTAACCCATTATTTTATTTTATTTTTTTTATTTTGAACTTTTGCTTTTATTATTAATTAATCAATTTTATTATTTCATATTTTTTCTTCATATTTTCCTTCTCATTAACTAATTAATTTATTATTTTTCCTTCAATATTTAAAAAGTGGAAATTAAATTGGTGATGAAGGTGCATCATGCTTAGGTTCTGCTTTAGCAAAGTGCATTAATCTCTCAAATTTGACACTTTTTCTTCAGTAAAAACAGTTTATTTTTTTTGGATTGTGATTTTTTTATTTGTAAAAAAAAACTTAAACAATAAAGCTCATTTTTCTTTTTCTTTTTATTGTGCTTGCTTTTTTTTCTTCTTCCTTTTTTAATTTATACCATTATTTTATTTTGAACTTTTGCTTTTATTATTAATTAATCAATTTTATTATTTTATATTTTTTCTTCATATTTTCCTTCTCTTTAATTAATTATATATTATTTCTTCAATATTTAAATAGTCAAAATTAAATAGGTGCAATGGGTGCATCAGGCTTAGGTTCTGCTTTAGCAAAGTGCATTAATCTCCCAAATTTGACACTTTTTCTTCAGTAAAAACAGTTTATCTTTTTTGGATTGTGATTTTTTTATTTGTAAAAAAAAACTTAAACAATAAAACTCATTTTTCCTTTTCTTTTTATTGTGCTTGCTTTTTTTTCTTCTTCCTTTTTTTATTTATACAATTATTTTATTTTGAACTTTTGCATTATTTCATATTTTTTCTTCATATTTTCCTTCTCTTTAATTAATTATATATTTTTTCTTCAATATTTAAATAGTCAAAATTAAATAGGTGCAATGGGTGCATCAGGCTTAGGTTCTGCTTTAGCAAAGTGCATTAATCTCTAAAATTTGACACTTAGGCTTGAGTAAAAACTGTTTATTTTTTTTTTGGATTGTGATTTTTTTATTTGTAAAAACAAACTTAAAACAATAAAGCTCATTTTTATTTTTCTTTTTATTGTGCTTGCTTTTTTTTCTTCTTCCTTTTTTAATTTAAACCATTATTTTATTTTATTTTGAACTTTTGCTTTTATTATTAATTAATCAATTTTATTATTTCATATTTTTTCTTCATATTTTCCTTCTCTTTAATTAATTAGTTATATATTTTTTCTTCAATATTTAAAAAGTCTCAATAGAATTCATGATAAAGGTGCATCAGGTTTAGGTTCTGCTTTAGCAAAATGCATTAATCTCTAAAATTTGGCACTTTTTCTTCAGTAAAAACAGTTTATTTTTTTTGGATTGTGATTTTTTTATTTGTAAAAACAAACTTAAAACAATAAAGTTCATTTTTCTTTTTCATTTTATTGTGCTTGCTTTTTTTTCTTCTTCCTTTTTTAATTTAACCCATTATTTTATTTTATTTTATTTTGAACTTTTGCTTTTATTATTAATTAATCAATTTTATTATTTCATATTTTTTCTTTATATTTTCCTTCTCATTAACTAATTAATTTATTATTTTTCCTTCAATATTTAAAAAGTGGAAATGAAATTGGTGATAAAGGTGGATCAGGCTTAGGTTCTGCTTTAGCAAAGTGCATTAATCTCTCAAATTTGACACTTTCACTTTTGTAAAAACAGTTTATTTTTTTTGGATTGTGATTTTTTTATTTGTAAAAAAAAACTTTAACAATAAAACTCATTTTTCTTTTTCTTTTTATTGTGCTTGCTTTTTTTTCTTCTTCCTTTTTTAATTTATACCATTATTTTATTTTGAACTTTTGCTTTTATTATTAATTAATCAATTTTATTATTTCATATTTTTTCTTCATATTTTCCTTCTCATTAACTAATTAATTTATTATTTTTCCTTCAATATTTAAAAAGTGGAAATAAAATTGGTGATGAAGGTGCATCAGGCTTAGGTTCTGCTTTAGCAAAGTGCATTAATCTCTCAAATTTGACACTTTCACTTTTGTAAAAACAGTTTATTTTTTTTGGATTGTGATTTTTTTATTTGTAAAAACAAACTTAAAACAATAAAGCTCATTTTTCTTTTTCTTTTTATTGTGCATGCTTTTTTTTCTTCTTCCTTTTTTAATTTAACCCATTATTTTATTTTATTTTGAATTTTTGCTTTTATTATTAATTAATCAATTTTATTATTTCATATTTTTTCTTCATATTTTCCTTCTCTTTAATTAATTAAAATTTACACTAATTTATAAAAAAGTAATAATAAAATCAATCAAACATCCAAAGTAAAAAGCAAGTATCTTAAATCTAAAAGATTGGTTGTCTTTGAATTAACACTCTGATGATAAAAAAGTGGCTAAAAAAGGATAAATAAAAATTAAATGTTTGAATAATTAAATATAATATGTTTTATTAAATAATATATTGAAAAATATTTTCAACCTAAAACATATAAATTAGATATATAATTATATAGATTTTTTTATTGTTTTTATATTTATATATAGAATATTTTTTAAGTTAACAAATAGATTATAAAAAATAAAAAAATTTAAAAATTAAATTGATTTTAATAAATTAATACCTCTTAAGCCAGACAGACCCAGACTTCGGTTTAACCAAAAAAGAACAAAGCTTTTTAAAATTGTTGGTGTCGTATTTTATTTTATTAAATTAAATAAATGCCAAGCTTTTATAGCTAAAATCAAATTAAAATAGTAAAATTTACTTAAATAATTTTTTAAAAGCTTTTAAAAATAAATCTCAACCAACAAAGATTTAGATTGAAATCTGAAACTATGATGAGATTTTATATAATTTTTTTATTTAATTCAAAAATATTTTCATTGAATTAAAAAATCAAATTTAATAAATTTTTCTTTTTTTCTAAAGTATATTGTATTTATTTTCTTTTACAAATGTGTAACATAAATTCAAATTACATAATATTTCTTTTCTTTTTCTTTTTATTTAATATATATATACTGTAGATTCACTAATAACTGGTAAATTTTGAGGTTGAAATATTCTAAAAATTTTTTTACCAACCTAATTGATGTATGGTGCAATAATGTGTTTTTTTATGTATTTAAAAAATTTCTAATCTTCATCCTATATAAAAATAATATGAACAACATTATAAAAAACAATATTTTATTTAAATCCTAATTTAAAATATCTTAAAATTAATAGCTATTTTTAATAAATTCATCATATCCTATAAAAAAATAATAAGCAAGATTTTATAATTAGCTATAATATTTATACCTACCTACCTAACACAGAACATATAGCCCAAAAATCCTTTTATTAAATTGATTATTTTTCTTTTAATTATCCTTTGACTATTTAGCTTTAATTTTATTTCATTTTATTCTTTAATTCCTTAAAATATTTTTTTATTTAATTTTAAAAGTCCATAAGATGGTAATATAAGAAAAAGAAGTAATATAGAAATAAGGAAGAATTATATTTTAATTTTTAAATCATGAATTATATTTCAAATTAATTCATAAATAAGTTAAGTGGCTGAAATAAATCAGATTCTTTTCAAAAATATCTCTTTTATTTCTAATAATAAAACCAAAATAAAATTTAAAATATTTTAAATATTTCAATAACCTAGAAAAAATTTGTTTTAATCAATTTTTATTTAAAGAAAAATATGTGGCTTAATTTTAAGTTATTTTTTAAGGATTGTAATTCGAATAAATTTAGTTGATTTCTTATGTTATGTCTTCTAGATAAGAAATTTGAAGTAATATACATACTATCACCAAATTTACTTAATATGTAAAGAAAAAATTTGTGACGGTCTACAATATTTTATTTAAATCCTAAAATTATTTAATATATTTTTTATTGAAAAAATATAGATAGAGCATCTTAAAAATTTTTAAATTACAAATAAATGATTAATTTTATTATAAAAATATAAATTTGTATGTGACAAAATAATGCAGTTAATAAGCCATATTAATTATGAAAACTAACAAATAAATAAATGATTCGCTTTTTAAATTTCAATTTGAATAACAACTGCATTTGAATTGGCAACTAAATTTATAAAAAATTTTGAAAAGGATTGAAAAGCAAAAAGCATTTAAAAATTAGTTGATTTTTGAATAAATATTTGATTAAAATAAGTAATAAAGAAGTAGGTTTAGTTTATCATAATTTTTTCTAATTATTTGTTAGATTTTCGTAATATTTGCTTTAATTTATGATGGTAGATTTTCAAAAATTTAAAGGATAGGAATTAGAAATACGAGTTATTGTTTACTTAGTATAAATGAATATAATTCGATTGAACATATAAATTATATGTTAAGTATTAAAAGAATTAAGTAGGTTGGTTGATTTCTTTCTTTGAATTTTTATATAATATATTGTTTTTTTGTTTGTTTGTTTGCTTGTTTGTAGTCCACTTTAATTAACAATCATAATTTAGATAGTAGTTGAAAAACATAGAGCCAATCAAACAAATTAAATAAGAAGATTTTAAAATTGATAATAAAATTAAGAAAAAAAGACTTTGAAAAAGGAAGATAATTAATTTATTAATTATAGATAGCTTTAAATATTCTTAAACAAGGATTTACTTATTTATTTAGGGACAGATAGTTAGTTAGTTAGTAAATAGACTAAGAAAACATGATGAATTTCATTCCGTCTAAAGTTGGACATGAGGAGCTTGAGTCGTAAAGTAAATAAAGTATGAAATCATTCAGCAATTTGAATTTGCCATAATCTTCAACTTATTTGAACAACATTCGTGGTGATGAAGATTCAAATGAAGGGCATTTATCTGATGAAGAAGAATTCTAAGACAATGAGCACTATTTGAATTAATATCAATAAAACTACATCATGGATTAGTAAAACATGCAATATAATATGTATCCCAATCAGCAATATTAGAATGAAAACTATCACAATAAGGGTAATAAGTTGTTTTCATAATTTTTTAACTTTACTTATTAATTTATTTTTAAGTTGATTTGAATATTTTTGAAAATAGGTTATTAAGGATAAGTGAGATAGGTCATCAGTCCAAAGGCATAATAATCTAAGTTTTTAGGGCATACTTAGTCTTTATCTATGAAGGAGAATTTACCTTAAAGAAATTATGGAGTTGCAAAAAGCTCTACCAGCCCATTTAGAAGCAAATTAGGTAAAGAATAAAAGGAAAACTAACACTTACAGTAGTAATAGCGCAGTGCTAATTCTACAAGCAACATAAAGTCTTTTGAGAAATCTTACTAAGAACTTACTCAATAAATATTATCTCAAAGATTAGAGAACGTACAGTAAAACGATTATTCTCTTAGACCTTAAGATTTGTTGTTGGGTTAGCAATAACTATAAGAACTATAAAAAAGAAAGCACTATGATTAAAAGACCTAAGAAGAGCTATTTAAAAGACTTAACAAAGAAGCTGAACTTTAAAACGATTACAAACACTAACTAGCCTTAGAGTAACAAAAAAAGGAAATGGAATAATGTACTTTTACTCCTTAAACATACAGCACAAGACCTGAAGAGTAGCGAACACTCAATCAATTTTTAGAGGATTAAGAAAAATTCTAAAAATAATAAAGTGAAAAAATAAACATGCTTCGTTACTAGGTAAATAAATAAATAAATATTTTTAAAGTTTAATTTATGTATGAAGAAAATGAACAGATATTTGATGTTAATCATAAAAAGATGGAAAAATTAATTCAAGTATGATTTAAAGTTATACATACAGTTTTGTTAAAAGGATTAGGTTATTTATATTAATCTATTTAGATTATTAATTCGCTAAAATTTAGATTTTGATTGATGCAAATCAAGATAACCTTTCCAATATCTTTTGTTAACAGCTAATATAAAATAGGAAATTAAACTTTTTTTATCAATTTCAAATGTATTTAAAATTAGAGATATTTTCTTTTACTTTACCGTTGAATAATGAATGAATGCATAAATTTAAAATTTACTTTGAATAATGAAAATAATTAAATTATTTAAATAGATTTAGGAAGAAAAGAATCAAAACACAACTCATTAGCCTAGAATTAATTAAAAGAGTGAAATGATTGTTTAAATGAAGAGAGTTGAGAAAGAGCCAGTTTATGATAGACTTTACAAGATTTCTCAAGAAAAGAGCAATAGAACATCAGAAGTTAGAGCTTCAAATCAAATCAACGGTTTAAATTGCGGTACAACCAAATTCTCTTCAAGAAATTCTAACAGCTAGTTTAATCAAACTTAGCGTGTCTCCGAATATGAATTAGAAATAGAATAATAGAATACTTTCTAACCTTAAATCAATGAAAAGAGCAAAATGATGGTAAGAAAGGGAAAAGTTGGTGATCATCTATACTAAGATGCTCTCAGACGTCAAGAAAAAATCAATACTATTCAAAGTTAGTAAGAGAGTGTGATGACAAAATAGCAAAAATCTACAATGAGCAATTAAACAAACAGAATCATTTCAAGCCGATCTGAATAAATTGTAGCAACTAAGTTTGTCAGAGAATTTGAATATGTTTGTGATGAAATTTTGCATGATCCCAATAGCTAAAAAATAGACTACTTGCAAATGGGTGAAATTCTAAATAGACTTCATTTCTTAAAAAACGTTGGAGATGAATCTAATTTGAATAATTTAGGACATGAAAGAAAATTAGTTTATGACATATGGTATAATTTAAGAGGAGATGAACTTGGTGGTGTAACAAAATGCAATTTATGTTAATTTTTGTTGATTGTGATCGGTATTTTCAGTTTCTAACTTTAAACTGAAGATCAAATTAGACAAATACAAAATGAATAAAACCAAAACAATAGCAATGCAAACTATGCTCATCCTCTTCAAAACGATAGCTATAATAAATTCAATCATTAACATAACACTCTATATCTCCAAGAAAGGTATACCGAGGAAGAAGACGAAGACTACGATCCCTCAAACCCATGTTATGTAATCAATCAATTTTTGTTTATTTTTACTTAAAATCTTTTAGTTATTTGAATTCCTTTTTAATGCCAACTTTTAATTAATTAATTAATTCATTCATTCATTAAAAAAGAATATTTTATGTTTTTAAATGAATGAATAAGCAAATCCTCTTTAGAATTTTATTTTTTTACAGAAATTTAATGAATTTTTTATATAATTAGTAATAAGGCTAACAAAAGTTTATGCAATTAACAGTTTAATAATAACTGAGTGAGTTTAACTAGGGAAATGATTCTTTTTAGGCTAAGCTTTAATAGTTTAACTAAAAGAATAGAAAAGGTTTTATTGATCAAATTGGAAATTGGAATATTCCAGTTGAAGAGGCCAAATGCCTGTAGAAAGAATTTGATATTCTTTACAGAAACAGACTTTCTAATGAAGAACTTAAAAAGACTGACTTTAAGCAAGACAGCACATTTTAGCCTTAGATAAATTAAAATTCTAAGAAATTAGCGGAAAATTATCGTGAAAAACTATTAGAGGAGACAGCTAATTTAATTTCTAACTAAGAAATTTAAGTAAAAGTTCCTCCTTCTGGAAAGATTACTCATGTAGACTTGCTTGTTTTCTAGAAATAAGCTCAATTATAAGAGAGACAAAAGAAAAACTAGGCTTAAAGTATTGCAGTTCAATAATCTTGCACTTTCCATCCCTAGACACTTCCATCTTCAAGCTCTTTAGTTTCTAAAAATAACTTAACTAACTAAAGTGGACAGATGAACAATAACGGTTCAAATGCATCTTTGATGTCTAATTAATGCGGTTTAAAGAAAAGTAATTAACTTTATTAATTGGCCAAGTTGAAAAACGGTAAAAAGGATAAGGATAAAAATGAAATCGAATATGAAAAGAACTTTGATGAATGCACATTTTAACCTGACATTGCAATTACTAGAAGCAAATCTTCAAATGCATTAAGAAAGAGTCATGTATCTGCTGTTTCAGTAACATCATAAAGAGACTCTGATAAATATATTGAAAGAATGCGTGCTGCTAACAAGCAAAGAGAAGAAAAAAATATCATGCTTTAAAGAGGATATAACAAACCTGATGGAAATGATAAAAAGAAAACTGAAAAAACTGCTCCAGTTTCTTCAAGGCTATACAATGATGTTCCTCTTTATCGCTAATCAAAACAAAATAATTCTAACGAATAATAGTAATCAACCTAAGGTATTCAATTTTATTCCAATTTTTACTCTTTATGATCAAAAGTTTTAAATAAAAATCTATTTAAGAATTCATTTTAATAAATTTATTTTAAAAAGAAAACCAAAATACTTCAGAACAAGTTCAATAATATGGTGAAGCTAGTTAGACTTAGGAATACTCTTAATATTAGTAGTATATGATGAACTAAAAATAGACAGAATAGTCTTATGATAATTTTATGAACAACTAATAAGACTCTTATGGCTTATACTCTTACAATTAAGAAGGAGAAGAGCTTTAACATCAGGTTGAATAAAATAATTAGAAAGCTTCTGAAAATTAGGGCTAGTAATTCCAATACAACTAAATTTAACCAAGTAAACAAAATATAAATTATTTCTTTCAAGTTATTAATATTATTTTTTTTAATCAGTAAATCCTTTAGAAAAAGTGCCTCTGCTTTTTGTAGATGTAAATCTTGGAAGAGAAAAAACTGAAAGAATTATCGTATTTGAAGGAGACACATCAGAAGCATTAGCAACTAAATTCGCTGAAGAATAAAGTAAATTGATAAATAAATCGTTGTAGCATTTTCTTAAATATATTTATTTTTAATTTAAAGATTTAGATTCTCAAATGAAATAAAAACTGAAAGAATTATTAGACAACTAAATTGCTGGTTTACTGACCAAAATCGACGAAGAAGAAGCACCTTCTATGATGAGTGATTGAAAGGATTATTAAATAAATAATATAAAAATTCCTTCTAATTAAAGAATATAAACTGACTGTAAATAACTAGTAAAAATCTTATTTTATAGATGATAATTAAAAATAAATAAATAAACTATTGCATCAAAATCTATACTAAAGTATAAATTATATATATATATCTATCTATCTATATATTTCATTTAAGTATCCATTTTAAAGCTAAATTTACTTTTAATTACTTCCACTTATTTTACATCCAATCTAATACAAAATAAAAATATTAATTTATATATATTCCCCCACTTTTAAAAACATTAATTAAGCTTAACTATCTAAATTAATAATGATATGATTTAAAATTTGAAGGTCAAATAAAGAAAATATCATTTTTTAAATCTAAAATAATCATGATGAACCACTTTTGAAAAATTATAAGATATTTATGCACTAAATTAAAGGAGGAGTAAGCGCAGGAGGGTGTATATATCAGAGATTAATTTAAAAAGGTAGTTGATAGATATTACCTCAAAATCATACGTAAAATAAGTTTAAGAATTTTTTTATACCACTGACACTGCGTTCCTAATATCTTTTATATTCTAAGTTATAAAAGGCTTCTCTGACCTTATCTTGTTCAGTCTAAATCATGCGGAGTCTCTATTCTTTCTTTCCTTTTCTCTTTTTAATCTAGAATATAACCTTGTCATCTTTCTTCATAAGGATTAAGCTTACATTTTTACATGTTACATTTTTAATACCCTTTACCATCATATCTAAGTACAAAAAATAAAATGGTGAGGATGGTAATAATTACTGAGCTAAAACAGAAAAATCTACTTCTAAACATTATTTTTATAAAATAAATTTAAGAACATTAATTAATTAATTACTAACATTTTTTAAAACAAAACTAACTACTCGTCTATAATTTCAACCATATTTTTTAAATATATGTTTTAAATACAAATATTAAGATTAAATAATGAATGTTAAATTAATTTTTCTGTGATATCAGTTCATAAAAGCAAATTAATAAATTGATATTTAGTAATTAATTATTAAATTTTATTTGTTCTTTTTCTCCCTTTATAATTAATTAATTACTTAAATTCGATAAATTGCTATTCAGTATTTTTGAAAAAAAAAATAAATGATATAATAGATTAAATATTACAGCAGATTAGAAGAAGTAATTATTTATTTTTTTATTAATATCTTTTAAATTTATATAAATTAATAAAAAAAGTTTTTAAGCTCTTCACTTTTATCTCATTAGGTTCTCCATATTGATCTTAGGTATATTTAATTAAAAAATATTGTTTTTATTATTATTAATATTTTTTATATTTTCAACTTTCAAACTATTTAAATTTCTAATAGAAATTCTCATCATTATTCATTGATTTTTATTTAAAAACATTTTTAACTATTTAACTTAATTTTTATTTTAATTTTTAATTATTGATTATTCATTTTTTATTATTTGATATTTTTTCTTCATTTTTTGCTATTAACACTTATACTTGATAAAAATTTTTTATTTGTTTTTGATTTTAATATTTTAAATTATAAAAATTAATTTAAATTATAAAAGCTCTTTTAATTTATTTGATTTATTTCCCTTGCTCTTTTTATTAAGCTTACTTTTTTTTCATTGTTTGTTAATTTATCTAATTATCATAATTAATCTTATTATTTGATATTTTTTCTTCATTTTTTCCTTATAATTTACTATTTAATGATAATATTTCTTAAATAATTAAAAAGTAAAAAAGAAATTGATGATGAAGGTGCATCAGGCTTAGGTTCTGGTTTAGCAAAGTGCATTAATCTTTCAAATTTGACACTTAAAATTTAGTAAAAACAGTTTATTTGCTTTAGATTGTGATATTTTTAATTATAAAAAGTAGTTTAAAAGAATAAAGCACTTTTTTCTTTTTCTTTTAATTGTGATTGTTTTTTTGTTGTTAATTTAACTTATCATTTTATTTTCAACTTTTGCTTTTATTATTAATTCATTTTTTTATTTCATATTTTTTCTTCATTTTTTCCTTCAAACAAACTATTTAATGATATATTTTTCTTCAATAATTAAAAAGAAGAAACAAAATTGGTGATGAAGGTGCATCAGGCTTAGGTTCTGGTTTAGCAAAGTGCATTAATCTCTCAAATTTGTAACTTTATCTGAAGTAAAAACAGTTTATTTGTTTTAGATTTTGATATTTTTAATTATAAAAAGTAGTTTAAAAGAATAAAGCTCTTTTTTCTTTTTCTTTTAATTGTGATTGTTTTTTTGTTGTTAATTTAACTCATCATTTTATTTTCAACTTTTGCTTTTATTATTAATTTATTTTTTTATTTCATATTTTTTCTTCATTTTTTCCTTCTAATTAACTATTTAATGATATATTTTTCTTCAATAATTAAAAAGTAGCAACGAAATTGGTGATGAAGGTGCATCAGGCTTAGCTTCTGGTTTATCAAAGTGCATTAATCTCTCAAATTTGACACTTTGGCTTTCGTAAAAACAGTTTATTTGTTTTAGATTGTGATATTTTTAATTATAAAAACTAATTTAAAACAATAAAGCTCTTTTTTCTTTTTGTTTTTATTGTGATTGCTTTTTTGTTCTTTCTTTGTTAATTTAACTCATCAATTTATTTTCAAGTTTTGCTTTTATTATTAAATTATTTTTTTATTTCATATTTTTTAATTAACTATTTAATGATATAAATATTCAATAATTTAAAAGTTACAATGAAATTGGTGATGAAGGTGCATCAGGCTTAGGTTCTGGTTTAGCAAAGTGCATTAATCTCTCAAATTTTTAACTTAATCTTGAGTAAAAACAGTTTATTTATTTTAAATTGTGATATTTTTAATTATAAAAAGTAATTTAAAAGAATAAAGCTCTTTTTTCTTTTTCTTTTTATTGTGATTGTTTTTTGTTTTTTCTTTGTTAATTTAAATCATCATTTAATTTTCAACTTTTGCTTTATTATTAATTTATTTTTTTATTTCATATTTTTCTTCATTTTTTCCTTCTAATTAACTATTTAATGATATTTTTTATTCTATATTTAAAAAGTTACAATCAAATTGGTGATGAAGGTGCATCAGGCTTAGGTTCTGATTTAGCAAAGTGCATTAATCTCTCAAATTTGACACTTAAAATTTAGTAAAAACAGTTTATTTGCTTTAGATTGTGATATTTTTAATTATAAAAACTAATTTAAAACAATAAAGCTCTTTTTTCTTTTTCTTTTTATTGTGATTTCTTTTTTGTTCTTTATTTGTTAATTTAACTCATCATTTTATTTTCAACTTTTGCTTTTATTATTAATTAATCTTATTGCTTCATATTTGTCTTTTCATTAAATAATTAATGATTTATTTTTCTTCAATTATTAAAAAGAAGAAACAAAATTGGTGATGAAGGTGCATCAGGCTTAGGTTCTGGTTTAGCAAAGTGCATTAATCTCTCAAATTTGTAACTTTATCTGAAGTAAAAACAGTTTATTTGTTTTAGATTGTGATATTTTTAATTATAAAAAGTAGTTTAAAAGAATAAAGCTCTTTTTTCTTTTTCTTTTAATTGTGATTGTTTTTTTGTTGTTAATTTAACTCATCATTTTATTTTCAACTTTTGCTTTTATTATTAATTTATTTTTTTATTTCATATTTTTTCTTCATTTTTTCCTTCTAATTAACTATTTAATGATATATTTTTCTTCAATAATTAAAAAGTTTCAATTAAATTGGTGTAATGGGTGCATCAGGCTTAGCTTCTGGTTTATCAAAGTGCATTAATCTCTCAAATTTGTAACTTAATCTGGAGTAAAAACAGTTTATTTGTTTTAAATTGTTATACTTTTAATTATAAAAAGTAATTGAAAAGAATAAAGCTCTTTTTTCTTTTTCTTTTTATTGTGATTGCTTTTTTGTTCTTTCTTTGTTAATTTAACTCATCATTTTATTTTGAACTTTTGCTTTTATTTTTAATTTATTTTTTTATTTCATATTTTTTCTTCATTTTTTCCTTCTAATTAACTATTTAATGATATATTTTTCTTCAATAATTAAAAAGTTTCAATTAAATTGGTGTAATGGGTGCATCAGGCTTAGCTTCTGGTTTATCAAAGTGCATTAATCTCTCAAATTTGTAACTTAATCTGGAGTAAAAACAGTTTATTTGTTTTAAATTGTTATACTTTTAATTATAAAAAGTAATTGAAAAGAATAAAGCTCTTTTTTCTTTTTCTTTTTATTGTGATTGCTTTTTTGTTCTTTCTTTGTTAATTTAACTCATCATTTTATTTTGAACTTTTGCTTTTATTTTTAATTTATTTTTTTATTTCATATTTTTTCTTCATTTTTTCCTTCTAATTAACTATTTAATGATATTTTTTCTTCAATATTTAAAAAGTGAAAATAAAATTGGTGATGAAGGTGCATCAGGCTTAGGTTCTGGTTTAGCAAAGTGCATTAATCTCTCAAATTTGACACTTTCACTTTAGTAAAAACAGTTTATTTGTTTTAGATTGTGATATTTTTAATTATAAAAACTAATTTAAAACAATAAAGCTCTTTTTTCTTTTTCTTTTTATTGTGATTGTTTTTTGTTCTTTCTTTGTTAATTTAACTCATCATTAAATTTTTAATTTTTGCTTATATTATTTATTAATTTTTTTATTTCATAATTTTTTTACATTTCTTCCTTCTAATTAAATATTTAATGATATATATTTCTTAAATAATTAAAAAGTAGCAACGAAATTGGTGATGAAGGTGTATCAGGCTTAGGTTCTGGTTTAGCAAAGTGCATTAATCTCTCAAATTTGACACTTTACCTTTTGTAAAAACAATTTATTTGTTTTAGATTGTGATATTTTTAATTATAAAAACTAATTGAAAACAATAAAGCTCTTTTTTCTTTTTCTTTTTATTGTGATTGCTTTTTTGTTCTTTCTTTTTTAATTTAACTCATCAATTTATTTTCAAGTTTTGCTTTTATTATTAAATTATTTTTTTATTTCATATTTTTTCTTCATTTTTTCCTTCTAATTAACTATTTAATGATAAAAATATTCAATAATTTAAAAGTGACAATAAAATTGGTGTAATGGGTGCATCAGGCTTAGGTTCTCGTTTAGCAAAGTGCATTAATCTCTCAAATTTGGAACTTAATCTGGAGTAAAAACAGTTTATTTGTTTTAAATTGTTATACTTTTTATTTATAAAAAGTAATTGAAAAGAATAAAGCTCTTTTTTCTTTTTCTTTTTCTTTTTATTGTGATTGCTTTTTGTTTTTTCTTTGTTAATTTAAATCATCATTTTATTTTGAACTTTTGCTTTTATTATTAATTTATTTTTTTATTTCATATTTTTTCTTCATTTTTTCCTTCTAATTAACTATTTAATGATATTTTTTCTTCAATATTTAAAAAGTGAAAATAAAATTGGTGATGAAGGTGCATCAGGCTTAGGTTCTGGTTTAGCAAAGTGCTTTAATCTCTCAAATTTGACACTATAGCTTGAGTAAAAACAGTTTATTTGTTTTAAATTGTTATACTTTTAATTATAAAAACTAATTTAAAACAATAAAGCTCTTTTTTCTTTTTCTTTTTCTTTTTATTGTGATTGTTTTTTTGTTCTTTCTTTGTTAATTTAACTCATCATTTTATTTTCAACTTTTGCTTTTATTATTAATTTATTTTTTTATTTCATATTTTTTCTTCATATTTGTCTTTTCATTAAATAATTAATGATTTATTTTTTCTTCAATATTTAAAAAGTTACAATCAAATTGGTGATGAAGGTACATCAGGCTTAGGTTCTGGTTTAGCAAAGTGCATTAATCTCTCAAATTTGACACTTTACCTTTTGTAAAAACAGTTTATTTGTTTTAGATTGTGATATTTTTAATTATAAAAACTAATTTAAAACAATAAAGCTCTTAGAATTTATTTGATTTATTTTTTTTATCTTATTTATTCCACTAATATTATTTTATTTATTAATTTAAGAAATAATTTTTAATTTAAAATTATATTTTATTTAAAATTTATTTAAACTTTACACAAATTTATTATAGAATTGATAGCTAAATGAATATATTATAAATATTCAAAGTAATAAACAAGTGTCTTAAATTAAAAAGATTAGTTGTCTTTAAAAAAATATTATTATGATAAACAGCTGGCGAAAAAAGGATGAATGAATAAATATTAATATTTGAATAATTGAATATTATATATTTTATTAAATAAAATTTTGAAAAAGTTTTTTTAACATAAAAGAGATAGATAGATTTTATTCTTGTTTTTATATTTATAAATATCATTCATATGTTTTTAAATTAATAATTTATAAAAATTAAAAAAATTAAAAAATAAATTTTACTTAAAGGACATTTATTACCTAATTAATTCCTCTAAAACGAGTCCTCCTATTTCTCGAAAAATGATAAAATCATTTGAAGCATTTAGTTTTATATTATATCTTATTAAATTATACAGATGCCAATCTTTTATATGCCAATTCGATTTTAATCTTAAATATTATCTATCAATAATATTTCAATCTATTTTTTATTTATCATGATTAATTAGATAGATACCATGATTAAAAAATTAATGCAAAATAAAATTTTTGGTTTTTAAACATTTATTATTAATTAAACTTACAACTCGCAACTTAGTACCTTTCAAGGACTTATGGTAATTAACATTAAAAAAATGATACCGTATTTATTATTTATATTCAGTTAATTATTTTTGTTAAATATCAATATTTATTTATTTAATTATTATTTACACTTACTAAGTAAAATATTTAAAATTATATTAAATTTCTACAATTAAAAATATTAAAAACTCAATAATTTTTATTTTTAAAAATTTATCAAAATAATTAATTATAATAGTAATATTTATATGAATTATTTTAATTTTATAAGATATATTAAAATTGTTTTCAGTTGTGTTTCTATTTAAAGTAATTAAAAGTGATTTGAATAAATTTAATTCAACTTAAAATGACGTTTATAAATTTAAGCGAAATTAATATAAAAATAAATGCTTATTAATATATTATTAATTTATTTATTAATCAAGTTAAACATTTAAAAAGCTTAAAAAATAAATATATTTTTAGGGGATTTACTCTCAATAGAATTTGTGTTTAAATTTACTATTACGGTTGTATGGTGTAGCGGTTAGCACCGAGGACTTTGAATCCTCTGACCTGGGTTCGAATCCCAGTACGACCTTTTTTTTATTAATTTATTTACGTTTTTACTTGTTTGGTGATTAATTATTATTATTTTCAAAATAAAAATAAAATTAACTTGAGAATGTAAAATTAATAAAAACAAATATAGTATTTTAGCTCATATAAGCACTACGGTTGTATGGTGTAGCGGTTAGCACCGAGGACTTTGAATCCTCTGACCTGGGTTCGAATCCCAGTACGACCTTTTTTTATATGAAATTTGCTTTTCAAATAAATTAGAAAAAAATATCTTTTGTGAAAATACAAAAAAAGAAATAAAATTTTTGTTAGAGAAAATATTTGAAAGAAAAATAATTTGGGATATTTAAAATAATTTTGAAAACGAATGAAAAAGAAAGAAATAAATAAATAATTAAAAATGAAAGAAAGTATTTATGGATTTATTAACTATTATTAAAATGAATTAACAAAAAATTAATTGATTGAAGATTATCATCATCATCATACTAAAAACGAGAGTAAAAAGAAGAAGAAATCTATCGAAAAGAAAATAAAAGCGATATTACATTAAATAAATTAATTAAAAATATCTATTCCTAAATAGGTCATTCATATCATCAACAAAAAGTAAATAAATAATAGCAAATAAAAATGAGAAGAATTTTCTGGAACTTCAAGACTGCTTTCGTTGGTCTCCCCATGTTTTCTTTAGCTCCCAAGAACATCTTGGTCTATCCAATTGTTGTTGGTGTTCCCCTTTATACATTCATCGTTTTACAAAACAGTAAATAATTTAATATATTTTTATTATTGTATTAGATAAAGCATGATTCATTAATTATTCATATAAATTCTAACTAGGTGTCAGAGGATTTGCATATTTCGATGAATACGATAGCGACGTTAAGGAAAATTGAGTGATTTAGAAATTATTTCAATCAAACAGTACAATTTCGCTTTCTAAAGTGAATTGCAGTTAGTTTTCTAGCACAACAATTATCAATAGAAACTGATAAGATAAAGCATCAGCATTTTCAAACAGTTTCTGTATAAAAAAGAAAATAAATATAAAAGCTATAGCATAATTAACTGTAACTAGTAGATTATTAACATTTAAAGTGTGTTTACATGTTCTATTCGTTCAATTCATAGATAGTATAGCGAGATTCTTTGAAAATAAAATTTTTAATCTTTTTCATAATTTCAAACAGCATTCATCTTCAAACATTCTATTAAAAATAAAAGCTAGTTTAAATAGCTATATGTAGTTAAGTCATTTATTCATAGTTAACTTTACTTTTTAAGGTCTGTTTAATTCAACAAAATCTATTAAAATCTAATTTTCTGTTACAAAAATAAGAATTTTAAAGATATTTTACCTCAGCCTATATGTCTTTAAATATGCTAGAAATAATAAATATCTTAAAGTCTTGCAAAAATTCTAATAAATTATAACCTAATTCATTTTATTTTAAATATTTACTTTGTTCAAAAAGATTTTGCAAAAAAAATGAAATTATTTTATAACATCCAAAATGCTTCAAAAGTAAACCAAATCTTTTATTTAAAATAGTTAAATAGAAATTGACATTATATTTCTAACAAAATATCAAAGAAAATATAGAAGTATTATCAATATATATGATGAAATAATTATTAATAATTAGATTTTTTAATTGAATCAGTTAAAGCAAATTAAAAAAGAATTTTAAATAAAATAATTTTTATTTCATAAAATATTTAATAAAATGAACAAATAATTTTTGCTTGAATTTATTTAACAAATAATTCATTCTCATAAATTTATTTTTGAACTCTTACGTTAAAAAATCAATTAAAGTTTTTTCTTTAATGTAGAACTGCTCTCATAAATATAAGCAGGAGGTCTTTAAAAAAAATGGATCTGTATTTTAAAATTTTAAGTAGAATAAAATTGTTTTCGCTATATGTGTGTGAAACTTGTTTGCTTGATGATTGCTCTAGAAGAATATATTATAAAAACTGTATGGAAGAAACAGAAGAAGAATAAATTATAGGATTTGAAAGTGTTAAGATTTATTTATTATTTTTTTTGATAAGATATGACAAAATAGCTAATAAAGTCCCTTGTCATACATGGATTTAATGAATGAAAAAGATTTTGGATAAATTAAGGATTTAAATAAAATAAAAGTGAAAAAAGTATATAATAGGTGATAATTTATTTTCTTTCTTTCTTTGTTTGTTTGTTTGATTGTTTATTTATTTGTAATTTATTATTTATCTGTCTGTCTTCTATAAAAATTAAATAAAAAAATTAAAGGCAAAATCCTTTTTTATCACATATATATTGCTTGCTTTTGCAAGAAAAAGTATTAAAGCGCAAAATTAAGAAATAGCAAAAAGAGATATTCATATATAAATTCATTAATAAGTTTCTTTATAGATTAAACCACTTAAGTAGTAAATGAGTGATAAAGATTTAGGAGAAGGTAAAAATAAGCACTTCATTACAACCTTAGTCCACTATGCAAATAAAGAAGTAACCATTTAAAAATCATCTTATTTTAATAGATTAATTTTACTTAAAGCACATCAAATTGCTTTTCATTATTTTTAAATTTATTATTTTTATGGTAGAAATGCAGATTTACTTGGAAGTTAAGGGAAAAAACGTCAGGTTACGAAAACAATGACGATAATACAGTTAAAAGAACTAAGAATCAAAGAGAAGATTACATTAAAGTAAGAATTATTCTTTATAGAAAGGATACATATCATTTAGATGATTAACTCTTTAATTATTCAAAATGAATATTTTCGTTTCTACAATTTTATCAAAACCAAACTAAACAAGATTTTCTTTTCAGTTGAGAGCAAAATTATTATGAAATCAATTTTTTAATCAAGGCAAACATAATAGAAGGAATAAGGTTGAAAAAGTAAAGTTTTATAAAGCAAAATGAAGTTTTTAGATTAATTGTTTGAGAGGATAAAAGTTTAGGTCAAATCAATTTTTTTGAATTAAAGTAGAATATACTGAAATTATTTTATTAAGGATTTTAAATAAAATAAAAATTTGAATTCATGTCAAATTGTTAAATGAATTGATTTAAATTTAATCTTAATTGCGTTGATATTTGAGAAAATTCATTTAAAAGTTTTAAAATGAATTTATATTTAAAGCTCAGATGAAAATGAATGAATATTTGATTTGGTTTTGGACAATAAAAAATAGAGTTTAATCAATATAAATAAATTAGAATAAAAAACAATAATCATAATTTTTATTTAATTTAATAGAAATATAAGGATACTTCATATGAGGACGAGTAGACTGAGATGAAATTAAGAAGAATGGATATTATTTATAGATTATACTACACTGAAGACGCAAAATTACGAAAATTAATGATGGATTATAAGACTTATGTTAAGAAGATAGGAATAGATATATAAAAGCTGGAAGAACATAGTGAATTATAGCATAATTTAAGATGCGTTGGCTATTATTAGGGTATTTATAAGATGTATAAGGAAGCTTAACTTAGACCAGATGAATGCAATCTTGTCTTTATGTAATTGATGAAGAAAGACTATGAGCCAAAATATAAATTAGAAAACAGCGAAGAACCTTATAATTTATTATTGAGTTTGTTTTATATCATAGAAGATATGCAAAAGCAGATCATGGAAACTCCAATTTTTGATGAAAAGGATGAGTCTAAGACAAAAATTATAAAAGAGTATAAGATGATTGATGAAGATTCTAAGCCTTTAGAATATGTTGATTCTTATAATGAAAATACGCATGAAAACATTATTGAATTCAGATATGGTTATGATTTGTTTGATGAATTCAGAAGTGATGAAATAGTTTAAATCAGATAAAAAGAAAAGCTCAATTATGTTAAGGAGTTCTATGAAAGATATGAAGATGTTTTGAAAAACAAATCACCTGATTTTTGGTAGTTTTTATTGTTTGATGTTTTGAAGGCGTTGTGCAACAAAAGTAATACTGATGAACAATTGCAAGAAATTCTCATGAATCTTTTGGATGACTTTGATGCTTGCAGATTTTTGCTTTCTAATAGAAAAGAAATCATCCTTTACTTGTATAAAAATCACTTCGCAAAGGATAAACAATTCTCATCCTCAATAAGCTCTATGAAAACTGATGACTCGCAAGGTTTGACCAACTATGAAATTTTGAAGTCAATTGTAAATAATTTTTAAAAATGTGTTTTGATGTTCTTATGAAAAATAAAATAAATAGGGTATGAAAGATATAGATATCGAAAGGGAGTCTAGATTAGGATTAAAGAAAAAAGATTTAGATTAAAAAGTTTCATAGGCTTAAAGCAAAAATTAATATGATGTTGATGACGAATTTTCTGAAATAGATTTTATCAAATAAGAATAAAGTTAATTAGTATAAAGAATTCCCTCTCTTGAAAAAAGTGATTATCCAGAATACATTTAACTTAAAATATCTCCAATGCCAAGACATCACACTCACGTTACTGATCTTGTTAAAATCGAAGGAAATTTCCCTGATTGGGCAAGAGTAAGAAATTACTTTTAATTTTAAATGAATAATTGAGTTAACAAAATTTTAATTTAAATTAGGAAGCATTTGGTTCAATTTAGTCATTAAATGTAGTACAATCCAAAGTTTACAAAACTGCCTTTTAGACAGATGATAACATTTTAATTTGCGCCCCTACTGGTGCTGGTAAAACAAACATCGCTTTGATGACTGTTTTAAGAGAAATAGAGAAACACATCAATCCTCAAACTAAATAGCTTATTGATCCTACTTTTAAAATTATTTATATTTCCCCTATGAAGGCATTAGCTAGTGAAATAGTAGACAAATTTTCAGGAATGCTTAAACATATGAATGTTAAATGCAAAGAATTAACTGGTGATATGCAACTCACTAAAAAGGAAATAGAAGAAACATAAATTATAGTTACTACCCCTGAAAAATGGGATGTCTTCACACGTAAGAAAAACGAAGTTGCTGAAACTCTTCGTTTGTTAATTATTGATGAAATCCACTTACTTAACGACGAAAGAGGTCCTGTTTTAGAATGTTTGGTTTCTCGTACTCTACAAAATATTGAAAGATAGTAAAAATCAGTCAGAATGCTTGGTCTTTCTGCTACTCTTCCTAACTATTTGGATGTCGCTTCTTTCCTCCACGTTAAAAAGGAATCAGTCTTTTTCTTCGATGCAACATACAGGTATTTTTAGTTAATAAAATCTAAACCTAATTTTTTTTTGATTATTTTATAGACCCGTTCCTCTCATGCAAAGATATATTGGTGTTAGAGAACCAAAATAATCAGGCTTTAAAGTGAAAAGAAAGAAAATCGATATTTATAATGACTTGTCTTATTCTATTTCTAAGGGTATTTTAGAGCACAAAAAGCAAGTTTTGATTTTCGTCCATTCAAGAAAAGAAACCATAGTTACTGCTTAATATGTATTGAAGAAAGCTCAAGATTGCGGAGAATTGCATTTGTTCAAGCCAGTTAATAGCGATAAGCATTCCTTACCAAAAATTAAAGACAAGGAACTATAAAAGTTAGCTCCTTGGGGTTTAGGTTTCCATCATGCAGGTATGTTGAGAAAAGATAGAAATATTGTTGAAAAAATGTTTAACGATGGCCAAATTAGAATTCTCGTCGCAACAGCTACTTTAGCTTGGGGTGTTAACTTGCCTGCTTATGGTGTTATCATTAAAGTAATTTATTTGATTCGAAGGCAATTAAAATTTATTTAATATTAAACTAAAAGGGTACTGATGTTTACGATCCAAGCAGAGGTGGAACTTAGGATTTGTCTGTTCTCGATATTTAATAAGTAAAGATAATTAATTATATGATTTAAATTGAATTTTAATTTGCTTCTTATCAAAATAGATGTTTGGTAGAGCTGGTAGACCTTAGTTCGATAACAATGGTGAGGCAACTTTGATGACTGATATAAATAAATTGAACTCCTTTGTTGCTCAATTAAATAATGCAAGTTTTATTGAAAGTAGATTTACAGCACACTTAAAGGAAGCCCTTAATGCTGAAATAGCTTTGGGAAATATAGCCACATTAAAAGAAGCATTTGATTGGGTTAACTACACTTTTTACTCTATCAGATTGAGAAGAAATCCTATGGGTTATGGTTGCAAGATAGCTCAAAATAAAGAACTCTCTATAGAAATGCATATAACAGAAACCATCGAAAATGCACTTGAACATTTAGACAAGTTGAGATTGATCAGATGGGACAGATAAAATAATTATTTAGCATCTACAGAATTGGGTAGAATTACCTCTCACTATTATATTAATTGCGATACTATGAACACTTTTTGCAAAGGGTTTGGTATTTCTCTAGATAATGATGAAGACATTGAAGAAAATGAGTAAAAGAGAACTGAATATAAATCCGATTTAGGCATATTAAAGATTATTTCTCAAGCTAAGGAATTTGAAAATATCAAGATGAGACCAGAAGAAACTGAAGAACTTGCTGTAGTTATCAAGAAATACTGGATTTTTGAAGAATAAATTGATATCAACATTAAGAAAATAGGCACAAACGATAGCACTTCAGCTGATAATAATACTCTTCTCATTGATACACCTGAAAAAATCTTAGCTCTTATTTCAGGTTATCTTACCAAATATCAATACGAGAACTTTTCACTCATATCTGACTCTTAATTCGTCATTCAAAATTCAATCCGTCTATTGAGATGTATGCTCGATATAGTCACTAAAAAATCTATGGCTTCTAACGCAGAGCTTGTTCAAAGATGGTGTAAATACATTGAATCCAGACTAGTCCCAGACGAAAGTCCTCTCCATCAATTCTGTAAATCAAACTGGCAAGGATATAACTCATTCAAGCAAAGAAAAGAGTTCAAGGTAAAAAAATTAATTTAGATAAATTTTTATTAAAAATAAAAAGAAAGTTCAAATATGAAAAATGAAAATATTGCAATAAATTTTAATTATTTTTAGATTTTTATTTCCATTTAATTTAGATGAAAAGTTTATCTTATTATTCTGATAATATTTCAAATAAAATAAAATTATATTAATTTATTTTATTCAATTTAACAGGATGGTTTCATCTCTGAAGATGTCGTTTATAAGATTGATGACAGAGAAATAAGCTTGGATACAATAAGAGAAATGCCAGCTACTGAATTAGCTCATGCTATTAATTGGAATACAAGAATTGCTACTGTTATTAAAAAGTTTGTTTGTTTCATTCCTAGAGTTGAGGTTGAATATTCTGTTCGTCCTATTGCTTAAACAGTCCTTAAAGTAGATGTTTTAATTACACCAAAGTGGTCTTGGTCTAATAGATGGCATTCTAAATCTGAATTGTTCAATTTAGTTGTTGATGATGAAAATGAAATTTTACATCACGAAAGCTTTACAATCAGCTAACAATAAGTCTTTACTTCAACTCCTACTGAAATAAGTTTCTTCGTTCCTTTCAGAGACTCCAAGGTTCCCTATTACAGATTACTTGTTTAGCATGACACTTGGGTCAACTAACCTGAAACTGAAGTACAAATTAATTTAGAACATATTTATTTCCAAGGTGAGAAGATGGAATACACTGAATTGCTTGATCTCCATCCCTTACCTATTTCTGCCCTTAACAACTCTGATTTTGAGCAAATTTACAAAATGAAATACTTCAATCCTAATTAAACTCAAATATTCCATGCAATGTACAACACTGACCACAACATTCTTATTGGTTCTCCCACAGGTAATATTAATTAATTTATTCATTAACATATTTATTGATTGAATGAAAACATTTTAATCTATATAAAAGGTTCTGGTAAAACCATTATGTCCGAATTATCTGCCCTTAGAGTTTTCAACTTATATCCTGAAAAGAAGGTAATGCTAGTTAGTTTATTGAATAAATTTAAAATAAAATCTAAATTTTATAAAATAGGTTATTTATGTAGCACCCTTGAAAGCTATAGCTAAAGAAAGATTAGCAGATTGGGAAGTTCGTTTTGGAAAAATTGGAAAAACTGTGCTAGAATTGACTGGTGATTACACTCCTGATTTAGATGCATTGCTCAAGGCAGATGTTTTGATTACTACACCTGAAAAGTGGGATGGTATTTCACGTAACTGGCACAATAGAAACTATGTCTAAAAGACAGGTTTGGTTATTTTTGATGAAATCCATTTGCTTGGTTAAGACAGAGGACCTGTTTTAGAAGTTATTGTTTCCCGTATGAATATGATTTCCTCAAAAACAGGACATAAGGTTAGAATGGTTGGTCTATCTACAGCTATGGCTAATGGTACAGATGTTGCTGATTGGTTTGGTGTTCCTAAAAATTATTTCTTCAACTTTAGACCTCACGTTCGTCCAGTTCCTCTTAAAATCTATTTTGATGGTTTTAGGTAAAAAATTAATTATAATTAATTTAAATCTTTAATTTTACCTTCATAAAAAAAAGCGCAAAAGCATATTGTCCTAGAATGGCTGAAATGAATAAGCCTGCCTTCTAACAAATCAGAAAGTTTGGTGAAAAGAAACCCGTTCTTGTTTTTGTTTCATCAAGAAGACAAACAAGATTAACTGCTTTAGATTTAATAGCTCATGCCATGCATGATATCGGTGGCGGATAGAGTCCTTTCGTAATGTGCTAAGAAGACGAGCTTTAAATCTATTTAGAAAACGTTAAAGATGAATATCTTAAATAAACCCTCTCATTTGGTATCGGTAATGCTCACTAAAAATAAATTATAATAATTTTTATTTAAAATTAAAAACATACTCTTAAAATTTTTAAGATAAAAATAAAAAATATCTTTTATTTTAAATTGATTTAAACAAAATTTTACATAAAAATGTACAAAATATCAAAAATAAAAAAGAAGTTAGATTATATATTTTGAATAAATTTGTATTAAAGGGTTATTTTAAATATTAATTAGGTATGCATCATGCAGGTTTGGATCAAGATGATAGAAAAATTGTTGAAGAATTGTTCTTGAACCACAAAGTTTAAATTTTAGTTGCCACTTCAACTCTAGCTTGGGGTGTTAACGTATGAATGATATTTATTTATTATTTATATTTTTAATATATAATTTAAAATATTAAAGCTTCCTGCTCGTTTGGTAATCATTAAAGGTACTGAGTATTTTGATCCTAAGACAAAGAGATATGTAGACATGCCTGTTACTGATATTTTATAGATGATTGGTCGTGCTGGTCGTCCACAATTCGATGATAAAGGTATTGCTTGTGTTTTTGTTGAGTAAAGCAAAAAGAATTTCTATAGAAAATACTTGAATGATCCTTTCCCTATCGAATCATCTCTTATCAGCCAAATCCATGACCACTTTAATGCAGAAATAGCTAGTGGTACTATTACTAACAAACAATAATGCATGGATTGGATTACATGGACATATTTCTTCAGACGTATGCTTAAAAATCCTACTTATTACAATTTAGAAAACGCAGAAACCAAGCAAGTTAAAAAGTTCTTAATTGAGTTGGTCGATGAATGTATGAACAGACTAGCTGAACATGGTTGCATAACCATTGATGACGAATTAAAATTCAATGTTACTCCAACTTTCTTAGGTTAGCTTGCTGCTTTCTACTATATTAAGCACGAATCAGTTTTCTACTTTGAAAAAAATCTAACTGCTAATATTACTATCCCAGAACTTATCAGAGTTCTTTCATACTGCAAAGAATTCGAAGAAATTCCTCTCCGTCACAACGAAGAAAATTACAATGAAGCTCTCTCTAAGATTTGTCCTCTTAAGTGTGATAAGAGTGCTTTCAGTTCTTCAAATGAAAAAACTTTCCTTCTTTATTAAGTAAATTTTATTATTTTATTTCACTCAAAAAATAACTCAAATAAATTTAATTTTGTTTTTTAACATTGTTTACATAATAAAATTTATCAATTAATTAGGTTCACTTATTTAGATTACCTCCTCCTATTAGAGATTACATTACTGATGCAAAGATCGTTGTTGATAGTTCTGTTCGTATTTTGAGTGCCATGATCGACTTAGTAGCTGAAAAGAGATACTTGAATACATGCATTAATTTATGTATGATCATGCAAATGATTATGCAAGCTGTTTGGTTTGATTAGAGTCCATTAATCAATGTTCCTCACTTCGACTAGCAGATTGTGAAGAAATTGGGATTGGTCCACTTCTGTCAATTAATAGAAGAATATAAAAAGGAAACTCTTCGTCCTACTCTAAAGAAGATAGATAAGAAATTCGGTGATGATAAACTCTGGAGAGAAGTCGAAGAAGCTATCAAATCACTACCAGATATTTCCTTTAGGGCCAGAATTTATCCTTTCGACTCTGAAAAATTGCAAAAGCAAGATGTTAACTTGAAACAATGTAATTTATCTAATTAAATAATTAAAAAAAACATTTCCATTTATTAATAAAATAAAGCTGAAATTTAACTCACTGAAGGAGGTGAAGCAGTGGTTTAAATTATTATTGATAAGGAGAATGAAAAATATCCCAATAAGGTGATTGTTTAGAAGACAGGAAAAATTAAAGTATGAATTTTATAAATATAAATAGAATTTAAGTTTAAAAATAATTATTATATTTAGGATGCATCTTGGTGGGTTTTAATTGGTGATGAATACACAGGCAAGCTTCATGCTTTGAAGAAAATATTCTTCAAAAAGAATTTAAAGAAGGATATTCAAATTATTTTACCTGAGAGCTTCGAAACTAGCAAAAAGCTGACTGTTTTCTTGGTTTCTGATTCATATCTTGGATTAGATTAAGTTTTCTATTTAAATTTAAGAAGCAAAGACTAAAAAGCTGATGAAAAATATTAAGCCTAAAGCGATGAATCAGATAGTGACATTCCAAAGCCAATTAGATAGAGACTTAGTGATGATGAAGATGACAAACAAAAGAAGAAAGAAAAGCCTTCTTATCCTAAATTCTCTAAAGGCAACACATTAAAGAAGAGCAAGGCAAAAGAAGAAGAAAATAGCGATGAAGAAGAAGAAGAAAAAGATTAATAAAAAGAAAGTCCTGAAAAGAAACAAGATACTAGTGACTAAAAGCAAGAAGATAAAAAGAAAAATATTCTTTAGAAAAAGAAAAAAGAAGGAGATGATGAAAATAGTAAAGCTAACGATAGCAGGAAAGATGATGATAAAGACTTTGATAGAAGCAAAGGAAATAACCTATATAAAAAGAAAGATGACACTTAAAAGTAAAACGAAAAGAAAGAGTCTGACTAAAGTAACAATAAATAAGAGAGAAAGGATCAACCTGCTAAAGGAGGAGATAATAAAGATTTTAAAAAGAAAAGGGATAACAGAGAACGTAAGCCTAAATACAACAATGATAGAAGACAATAAGATTCTGAAGATGAAGATGAATATGATGTAGGCTATAAGACTAAAGAGGGCTCTCACATCGATGAATTCACTCGTAAAAGAAGAGAAGAAAAGAATATGGATAAACTTGATAACTAAAATAATGCTCAGAATGAAGATGACGAAGATATAGTTTAAAAAATAAAAGAAGATAGTGACTTTAGTGATGAAGAAGAAGAAAACCAAAGATCAAAATACAGAAATAAAAGAGGTGGCGGTGGTGGATAAAACTTTAGTCGCGGTAGTGGTAACTAAGGTGGTAATAAATACACTGGAAATTAATTAAGAAAGAAAAATGATGACGATTACTAACCCAGACAAAGAGAAAATGATGATTAAAAAAAGAGAAATTTCTAAGGCGAGAGAAAGTTCAATGAAAATTAAAATTAAGGAGAAAAGCGTGAATATGAGAAGAAGCCCTACGAAAAGAAGCAATATGAAAAGAAAGAAACTCAATTCGTGCCAAAAGAAAAGAAAGAACCTGTTTATGAACCCAAAGAAAATCCATCCTCTTCTTCTTAATCCTAACAATAGTAATAAAAATCAGAGGCTCCAAAACAACAAACTCAAACTAAGCCACCACCAACTGGTTTTAAACTAAGACGTAAAAATAGCGACGAATTAAATGCAGAAGATAAAAAGAGTTCAAACAATAACAATAATAATAGAAATAATAATAGTAATAATAACAACAACAATAATAATAACAGAGGTGGCAATAACTCTAAGCGTTGATTTCAATATTTCAATAAATTACTTAATGAATAAATAATTTGACTGAAAAATGTATTATTACAATTTTGCATTATAAACAAACATTTACTCAATAAATAAAAAAATAAATAAATATAATGAATGATTAATCATGAATAAAGTATTCTTTCTTTCTACCTATTTATATTTAAATTAATTACTTTATCTTGTAAAAAATATTCAATCATATCTGTTTTCAAAATTTTATAAAAACAAATCATCGAAATTATTTTATCTTAAATCATATTTACACAAAAATGCAAGCAGAATTAGTTTTATTAATTTAATGGTTGAAAAAATATTTATTTGCGAAATAAGATTTCTTTTATTTTTATATTTTTGAATGTATTTTGTATTTATCAAGCAAATGCAATTAGAATTAAAAAAATCTTTGCAAAGAATTATTAATTTAGATTAAAAATATAGAATGATTAAGATTAATTATAATATTTAGTAAATTCATTAATTTCTGATAATTTATTAAATAATATATTATATTCTATCATTTTTGTATAATAAGAAATATAAAAATTATAAATAAAATGTAACTAATCAAGGCACTTTTCAGATAAAATGATAATTCCTCTGATCAATCTAAATATTTAACTGAAGAAAATATTAAATTTTTATTTTGGTAAGTAGAATTTTCATTGCTTAGGATGCTTAGTCGTTTGGATTTGAATAATATTAATTCATTTTTATAAAACTAAAAAATAGGTATGATAGGGATAATGCAAATGATATAAACAATAAAATGAAATAAATTTCTTAAAATAATCATCTTAAATCGATAGTGCTTGAATTTATGTAAATATCAATTTGTTTTTCAACAATTCATGTATTTTTATCTATATTTATTCACAGAGATAGGTTTGATTTGGCATAAAATTTCGAAAAGTATATAAATTATCTATCAAGCTGCTAAAATTTAGTAGATGTTAACATTAACTTAAGGTATTGATAAATTATTTACATAGGATATTTATCAACAAGCGTATATCAATATAAAAGAAACTGTAAGATAGAAGACACATAATTGCAGAACATATGCTTGGCTATAGAAAAGCTTTAAAATCTCAAAGTATTAAAACTAAATGTTGGGTATAACAATTTTAATATTTAACTTACACTGACTTGAACTATATTTAAATTTAGAGACAACTAAATTCTTTAGGGAGATACTGAAGAAAATTAAATATCTAAAATGATTTAAAATATGCCATAAATTGAATCTCTGAGCTTTAATTTTATGTAATAAATTTATATTAAGATATTAAAAGATAAATCTCCAATAAAAATATTTTTAGGTTTGTATTTAACTCTGGGAATAAAGTAACTTAAATAATTAAGACAATTTCTAATTTATAGAAAATCGTTCATCTAGATGTCGTTTTTTGGTAATTTATTGCATCAATTATTGTCGAAAATGTATTTTTAATGAATAAAATAGGGCAGTAGCTCTCACTAATGATTAAGCTACTAGTATTGGCCAATGCTTGAACAAGATGATTAATCTAAAATACTTATATTTAGATTTTAAGTAAAATTAATATAATTTTATTTATATTTAACTTTATCTAAATAAAGGGCTACTAGAATATAACACAATGTTATTAATAATTACTTCTAGCAAGTATTTCCTAATCTTTAAAATTTAATTTCACTTCGAGTAGATTTGAGGTAAATTAAATATCTTTAATATTTATTTATAAAATTTATTAATTAATATTTTTTAAAGAGCTTTAGGCTTTAGTGTAAACAAACGTTCCCTCTTTAAGATTATGAGACTTATGAATATTCAAGTATTATGCTGACTTTGAATATTTTCATTATTTATAAATTGTATAGAAATTAACTTTAATATAATTATAAAAGAACCAAACAAAATTTTCAAATACTTTCAAGCTTTTTTTAGAATAAGCAAAACATTAAATGTTATTTAATCACTTTTATGTATGAGGAGTTTAAAATTTTTCTTCTCATTTTTTAATATATTAATAAGTGAAAAAATGATTTTTAATTTTTATCATAAACTACACTTTTAATATTCGTAAAATATTTTAAATTGCACTTCATTCCAAAATAAAAAACGTTTAATTTAAATTTCCTTTTTTCCTGCTTTTGAAATATTGAAGAAGTTTAAGAAAAAATATTAGCTTTTATAAATACTAATAATAAAGATAAATTAAGTCTAATCTTTTTATTTTTTCTAAATAAATATTTATTTTATTTTTATTCTTCATAGATCTTTTTAATTCTAATTGATAAGCGTCTATAAGAAATTTAGAATTGAATGTAGATAATAAAAATTTTTTTTTTCCTGGTTGGAAAGGATTTAAATAATGATCGCAAATAAATTTTTTTTATACTATTTTATACTTTTGAAGAAAAAATTAATCTATTAGCACTAATAAATACTGATAATTAAGATAAATTAGGTCTAATCTTTTTATTTTTCTATATTAAATATTTATTGTAGAGGGATCTTTTTAGTACTAATAGATACGCGTATATAAGAAATTTAGAAATGAATGAAGATATATGAATATTTTATTTTCTGGTCGGAAAGGAATTAAATTATGATCGAAAATATTTATTTTCAATATTTTTTTATACTATTGAAGAAAAAATTAATCTATTAGCACTAATAAATACTGATAATTAAGATAAATTAGGTCTAATCTTTTTATTTTTCTTTTTTTAATATTTATTGTAGAGGGATCTTTTTAGTTCTAATAGACACGCGTAGATAAGAAATTTAGAATTGAATGAAGATAATAAAAAATGTTTATTTCCTGATTGGAAAGGATTTAAATTATGATCGAAAATAAATATTTTATTTAGGGAAAAACTAATATTTCTATATTATTTTATACTTTTGAAGAAAAAATTAATTTATTAGCACAAATAAATACTAATAATTAAGATAAATTAGGTCTAATCTTTTTATTTTTCTTTATTTAATATTTATTTTATTTTTATTGTAAACAGATCTTTTTAATTCTAATAGATACGCTAGTGTCTATAAGAAATTTAGAATTGAATGAAGATAATAAAATTTTACTATTTCCTGATTGGATAGAATTTAAATTATAATCAAAAAGTATAGATCTATCAAAAATTTATATTATTTATTATCTCAATAATATTAATAGTTCAATATAGATATTTAGAAATGGATTAAAAATAATAGTCAGATTAAACTTCAAACCTAAAAATGTTCACTCTTAAGGTACAATAAACCCCTTTGCAGGATAAAAACTTAAGATTGATAACTATAAAAGAATATGCTACTTCGAGGACAGCATCAACTTATTTTACTTAAAACAATTTAATGAAGTAAGATAGTAAATTGTTTTAAATATCTAAAAACAGCTTTTTTGATGCTTTTTATGCTGCCTACATCTTGCATGGCGATGTAATGATTTCAGCTAGTGATATATGGCTTACTATTTGTCATAAATTCGCAGCAGAAATCAATAAAGATGCTGAAAAATATAGACATCTTTTTGTATCTCATGAAGGAAAGAAAGAGTTAACTATCTATCTTAATGGGCTATCCTAAGATTGGAAGGACTTTCCTTGCTAAAATAATAGATGGGACAAAGCGATGGAGTTATTTAGTGTTGAAATATCCAAAAACACTAAAGGAGACATAGCTTAATTAATTAAAAATGATTTCTCTTCTACTAATTGGATAGAAAAAGCTTCTTCTAATATATGCTTAATGTCTTAAATGCAAAATTATTTTGATTACAAAATGATGATGTGTGGATGCGGCATATAGAATGTTCATTTTGTTGGCGGAATTGAAGATTTTGAGCATTTAGCAGCAAAGATTTCTACTTTGAAATAAAATTATTAACTAAATAATTACTTTACAAATTACTTATCTAATGTATTAAAAATTGTTAATACCTTCATTAGCTAAATGCAAAACCCTAATTAGCCAGATATTGCTAAGTTCTGGAATAGTATATTTGAAGAAACAAGTGTGCCAAAGTATGGACTTTCTGGAATAAGATAAGGTGAATAGATATCTTTTAGAGGCTGGTTCAGACACTTCTTTAATGCTGATCAAATTTTAAAAGATGAAGTGCCATAATTTGCTTCTTAAGCTCCTGTGAAAGCATCTGATCAAATTAAAAATAAGAGTTACAATCTAACATTTATCACTAAAATGGAAGGTATAGAAGAAATAGAACCTAATGTTTTCCGTCCAAATATTAATATTAGTGTCTTAGATGCTGATTAAACTAAACAAAAAACTTAATAATTTTGGTGATATCAAAAATAATTTAAAATTTTCATATATGAATTTTTTCTTGTAATTGTTTGTTTGAATATACTATATAATTAAATAGTAAACCAATTATTCAAATATTAATTTAATTTCATAAAACAAAATGTTAAACACATATATTTTTCTAACCATCATTTTATTATCAAAATTTAATATAATACACATCAATTTATTTATATATTATGTAGATACTCAAAAATTAAGAGCCATTTTTGAGAAGAAAAAAAAATACTTTTAATTTAAAAAAAAGTTAAATTTTAAAATTTATTTAAATTATGATAAATTTCATACAAAATACATAAATATATATTAAATACTAATATTTAAGTTTATTTATAATTATGTTAATCTCTCTATTACAAAAAAAAATCTGCAATTAGCAATAATACTTTATATCTTATTTTATACTTTTGAAGACAAAATTAATCTATTATGACTAATAAATACGAATAATTAAGATAAATTAGGTCTAATGTTTGTATTTTTCTTGATTAAATGTTTATTTATTTTTATTGTACACAGATATTTTTAATTCATTAGATACGCTAGCGTCATTTAGAAATTTAGTATTGAGGAAAATAAAATTCTTTTATTTCCTAATTGGATAGAATTAAATTATGATCAACTTCTAATATATGCTTAATGTCTTAAATGCAACATTATTTTGATTACAAAATGAGGATGTGTGGATGCGGCATATAGAATGTTCATTATCTTGGCGGAATTGAAGATTTTGAGCATTTAGCAGCAAAGATTTCTACTTTGAAATAAAATTATTAACTAAATAAAGATTTTACAAATTACTTATCTAATGTATTAAAAATTGTTAATACCTTCATTAGCTAAATGAAAAACCCTAATTAGCCAGATATTGTTAAGTTCTGGAATAGTATATTTGAAGAAACAAGAGTGCCAAAGTATGAACTTTCTGGAATAAGATAAGGTGAATAGATTTCTTTTTAAGGCTGGTTCAAACACTTCTTTAATGCCTATGAAATTTTAAAAGATGAAGTGCTATAATTTGCTTCTTAAGCTCCTGTGAAAGCAACTGATGAAATTAAAAATGAGAGTTACAATCTAACATTTATCACTAAAATGGAAGGTATAGAAGAAATAGAACCTAATGTTTTCCGTCCAAATATTAATATTAGCGTCTAAGATAATATTTTTGCAAAACTAATAGGTTAAAAATATTTGTGATATCAAAAATAAAATAAAATTTTCATTATAATATAGATACTCAAAAATTAAGAACCATTTTCGAGTAAAAAAACATTTTTTAATTAAAAAAAAGGCACTTTTTTTGGGCAAAAAAGATACTTAGGGAATGCGTTAATTAATGAGCATTTACAGTATATTAAATACTAATATTTAAGTTTATTTAATATTATGTTAATCTTTCTATTACAAAAAAAAAATCTGCAATTGGCAATAATACTTTATATCTTATTTTATACTTTTGAAGAAAAAATTAATTTATTAGCACAAATAAATACGAATTATTAAGATAAATTAGGTCTAATATTTGTATTTTTCTTTATTAAATGTTTATTTATTTTTATTGTAGACAGATATTTTTAATTCTAATAGATACGCTAGCGTCTTTTAGAAATTTAGTATTGAGGAAAATAAAATTCTTTTATTTCTTAATTGGATAGAATTAAATTATGATCAAAAAATATAGATCTATCAAAAATTAATAATATTTATTATATCAATAAAATTAATAGTTCAATATAGATATTTAGAAATGGATTAAAAATAATAGACAGATCAAACTTCAAACCTAAAAATTTTCACACTTAAGGTACAATAAACCCCTTTGCAGGATAAAGACTTAAGATCGAAAACTATAATAAAATATGCTCCTTCAAATAGAGAATAAACTTTTTTTACTAAATAAACTTATTTTACTAAAAACAATTTAATGAAATAAGGTAGTAAATTGTTTGAAATATCTAAAAATAGCTTTTTTGATGCTTTTTATGCTGCCTACATCTTGCATGGCGATGTAATGTTTTCAGCTAATGATATATGGCTTACTATCTGCCATAAATTCGCAAAAGAAATTGATACAGATGCTGAAAAATATAGACATCTTTTTGTATCTCATGAAGGAAAGAAAGAGTTAACTATCTATTTTGATGGGCTATCCTAAGATTGGAAGGACTTTCCTTGCTAAAATAATAGATGGGACACAGCGATGGAGTTATTTAGTGTTGAAATATCCAAAAACACTAAAGGAGATATAGCTTAATTAATTAAAAGTGATTTCTCTTCTACTAATTGGATAGAAAAAGCTTCTTCTAATATATGCTTAATGTCTTAAATGCAACATTATTTTGATTACAGTATGACCGTGTGTGGATGCGGCATATAGAATGTTCATTTTGTTGGCGGAATTGAAGATTTTGAGCATTTAGCAGCAAAGATTTCTACTTTGAAATAAAATTATTAACTAAATAATTACTTTACAAATTATTTATCTGAATTATTAAAAATTGTTAATACCTTCATTAGCTAAATGAAAAACCCTAATTAGCCAGATATTGCTAAGTTCTGGAATAGTATATTTGAAGAAACAAGTGTGCCAAAGTATGGAGGTTCTGGAATGAGAGTTGGTGATTAGATTTCTTTTAAAGGCTGGTTCAGACACTTCTTTAATGCTGATCAAATTTTAAAAGATAAAGTGCCATAATTTGCTTCTTAAGCTCCTGTGAAAGCAACTGATGAAATTAAAAATAAGAGTTACAATCTAACATTTATCACTAAAATGGAAGGTATAGAAGAAATAGAACCTAATGTTTTCCGTCCAAATATTAATATTAGTGTCTTAGATGCTGATTAAACTCAACAAAAATTTTACAAATTTTGGTGATATCAAAAATAATTTAAAATTTTCATATATGAATTTTTTTTTGTAATTGTTTGTTTGAATATACTAGTAAACCAATTGGTCAAATATTAATTTAATTTCATACAACAAAATATTAAACACATATAAATTTCTAACCATCTTTTTATTAATCAAAACTTAATATAATACACATCAATTTATTTATATATAATTTAGATACTCAAAAATTAAGAACCATTTTCGAGTAAAAAAACATTTTTGAATTAAAAAAAATTGATTAATTTTTGTAAAATATAAGAAATCTAATAAAAAGAAAATAATAAAGATTTAGATATAAAAAAAATTCATTAGTAATATAAAATTTATTTGAAATAAATTTAATAAATTATTATTTTTATAAAAAGGAATGATAAATTATTTATCAGTATTTTATTTATTCTATTTTAAATATTTATATAAACGCTAAAAATATATTTTAAACTATAAATAATTTACTTTTTTAGTAATTAAAAAATAAATTTAAATAAAATATTATCAAAATTTATTATTAATAATAAAATATTATTTATCTTTCATTTTTAAAATCAATTCTTCAGAAATTAGCTTATATTTTACTTAGCCAATAGAGCTTAAAAAGGTAGTAAGAAAATTAATTAGTTAGTGCGCAAAAGCAAATAACTAAATAGTTCATCATTTATATTATAGATATATTTTCTTTTGATAATATACTAAAAATTCAGGCAAATAAATTAATAAAAATAAGCAATCAATGATATAAAGAGCAGTTTTTAACTAAAGAAAATTGTGTATAATTTTGTTTAGTTACAAATCATTATTTAATTTTATGCAAGCTTTGATTTTAATTAAATCTTAGTACTAGCTGATTTACAATTAATTCGCATTATTTTAATAAACGCAGTAAGTAAAGTTAATTTGACACATGAAACTTAACAAATAGAAGAAAATAATATAAAAAAATTAATTTATTTAAATATTTAAACATATTTATTTATTTTATGAAATTCAAATGAATCACTCAGATCTTATTGTTAAAAATTATTATTTCAATAATTCTACTTATGTCATTTTAAATTAATATTAGATTATGTTAGAACTTTATTAAATGCAAGATAAAAATTCAAAAACTTCTATGCTAATTCATATAATAACATTTTGCAAAAATAAAAGATGTTCTAACAATTGTTTATTTTTTAATTTATGGTTTAAATAACAAGATGCGAAAATTCAAATTGTTTTGTTTGAAATTTCGTCACAATATTATGTTTTGTCTAGTAAATCTATGTGCTTTAAATGGATTTATTGCTTCTAAAAAATTAGATGAGCGATTAATTTATTTTATTTGTGTTGAATGTTATTTATAAAAGGTATAAATTATCTTTGAAACTTGGTTGTTATAATTATACCAGTATTGTCTATTAGAGATAAAATTAATTACTTTGTCATGTTGTTTGATAATATTATAATTTACATTGTTATATTAACAAATATTGAAAAGTTAGATCTAAGAGTTATTATTTTGATATTACGCAAATTTATTCAATTTTGATTAATTTTGACTGCAACACTCTATTTTATTGTCTTCGATGAATTCAAATTTATAATTTAAACCTATTTAATGTAAATTTATCCTTGTTGATGTAATTAAAAGCATCTTGGTGTAATTAGTTCTACTGACTGAATCAGAAAATTTTTACAAATGAAAACAAACAAGATTGAATTTATTTTTTGAGATGTAATAATATTTTGGTTAAATTTATAGTTTGGAGTATAATCAATTTATCTTCTTTTTATTATATAATATTTCATATAATATATGCCAATACATTTTATCATTATAAAATTAAATAAATGATCATAATCTCTATTAAAAAATGAGATTGATGTTTGTTTTATTAGATTACCACAGGTACTTACTTTATGTGCTAATAAATTAAAGTATTATTTTTATATGATTTTGATGATTGAATTATTATTAATTAGTAAACAATAGTTGGTTGCTTCGGCAAAAATCAATTAAAAAGCTCTACAAATTTGTTTTGCCCAGTGATTTTTTGCATTCAAATAATTGATTTAATATCCAATAAAAATAATAAATAAATAATTAAATAAAACAAACAAATAAATAAATAATAAAATATCTAATCAATAAAATAAAATAAATGAACAAAGCTATTGTTTTCGTTGCAATAATAGCATTCACTGTTGCTCTTATGGATGACACTGCTATGACTGGCGGATGGTATAATTACAAGTTCAGTAACGGTTTCTAGTCCGATAATTCAAACCCTCTTACTAAAATTTTCAAAAAACTCTCTGCTGAATTACAAGAAAAAGGTATTTCTGACATCTAATTCACCTCTGTTACTTCTTAAGTTGTTAATGGCTAGAACTTCAAGATTAGATTTACTTATACTCAAATTGATTCTACCAAGACTGGCTATTGCTTAGCTTATGTTTCTTTCTCAGGAGAAACTTGCGAAATCCATGAAGTTGAATTAGAAACAACTCCCTTAGCTTCAAACAAGGACATGCAAAATGGTGGATGGTCAAACTTAATTATTCCTTCAAATTTTGAATCAGATCCAAATAATCCTCTCACTATGGCTATGAATAAAATTTCCAATGAATTAATGATGAAAAATATGACTTTCGTCAAGTTTGTCAGTATTTAATCTTAAGTAGTTGCTGGGTAAAAATTCAAAATTTAATTCTAATTCTTAAACAAAAATGGATAAATGAGCATTGGAAATTGTCTTGCTTATGTCAGATCTTGGGAAAACTTTGTTGAAGTTTCTGAATTATCCTTTACCAACCCACTTTAATTGTCTGTTCAAGATAATTAAAACTAAAATGGCGGATGGTCATCTTATAACTTCAACGTCAGTGAATTATAGAATGGAACTTCTATGTTCAGTTCTGCTTATAGCAAGCTCGTTAATACTCTTCTCAAATAAGCTATCACAATTGTATCAGTTTCTCACGTCGAATCATAAGTTGTCTCTGGCGTTAACTTCAAGATTTCATTCATTTACGCTGAAAAAAATAATTTGAAAACTGGTAAAGCTATTGTTTACATTCAAGAATGGACCTAAACAATCAAAATTACTTCTTTGGAGCTTGCAGGATAAGCAATCCAATATTGAAGCATCTCAAAGAAAAATAAATGAATTATTTTTGTTCTTAGCAACAAATAATCATTAACTATCTTGATAAAAAATTCAAGAATCATAGAATCATTAATCATAAAAATAAATGAAATTTATTCGAACTTTAGTATTTTAGTATTTTATCTTTCTATATAAATTATTCTATTTAATATCATATAAATCCAAATCATATATTTTAAAAACCTTTTAGGATATTTTAATCTTTAAATTTAGAAAATTTTCTAATATAACACTTTTCAATATTAAAAAATTATCATCATTATTTATTAGCAATGATTTAAAGATATTAAATTTAAGAAAATATACAAAAAAAAATTTATGATATATTTTGAAATATTAAACGAAAAATAGTTTCTGTGTTATCAAAATATTTATAAATTTATTTCAAAACCTTTTTTAAATTTTGCAAATTCTATTTTATCAAAAATATTTGCAAATATATTAAATATTTATTTCAATGCAATTAGAAATATTATCAAATTATCTATTTACAACTTTGTTAAGTATTATAGATAAATAATGATAAAACTAAAAGTATATTTTATTATTTTTTATTTTTTTTTAATTCAAAATTTCTTTATTTATTTAAAAATAATCTGAAAAGAATTATCAATTAAACAAAAAATTTTAAGAAATTATAAAAAACTTAAAAATAATGATACAGTAGAAATATTAAATTGAAAATCTAGAAGATGTAATTAATTATTTAATCTTACCTATAACTTAAATTTATTTTTTAATATAAAAAAAGTTTTTAAATACTGAACTAGAATATAACACTTTTGAAGATATTAATATAATATTTCAGTAAAAAAATAAAAAATGCAAATCTTTTTTTCAACAAATAATTTTCAAATTATTTGAAATTGAAAATGATTTTGAATCATCATCTTCGTTTTCTTTTTCATAATTTTTCAATTTACTTTTCAATATAAAATTTATTTCCAGTTTTAAGTAAAACCAACAAATTCTTAAAAAATACTAAAAGCTCAAAATAATTAGATGAAAAGGATTTATCAGATTTATTTTCTGCTCTGTCAAAGTGTTCTAATCTCTAAAATTTGAATCTCAACCTTGCGTAATAAATATTTTTTTACTTTATTTGAGAGACTCATTTATTAAAAACTATTTATTAACAAACTTACTTACTTACTTTCTTTTTTAACTTTTTACTTTTTCTTAATTTTGAAAAATTTAATTTACACTTTTTAAGCATAAATTTTCATTTTAAATCAATCATATCTAATAAAAATTCACAACTTAACTTTCATTCATTAAAAGGTACAATCGAATAGGTTCTAAAGGTATATCATAATTAGGCTCTGCTTTGATAAACTGCAAAAATCTCTAAATTTTAAACCTTGACCTATTGTAACGCTTTTATTATTGTTTTTAATTAGAAAAAACCTACTCACTTATTTTAATAAAAATATATCATAATAAATAACAACATATTTTAATTTAGTAATAAATTTTCTGATTATATATTTTTTTTTTTACTTATTTTTAATATATATTTATACTATTCATGACTTATCATATATTAATTAGTTAATTAACTCACTGAATAATAAATTTTCTCAAAATATTTTGAGTGATTAGTTTTTAACTTTTAAAAAATGAATGAAAATTAAATTGAGTTTTAATATATAAGAATCTAAAGTATATTTCATACAAATTATTGAGTTTTTTTAACATTAAATATTAGTGAAAATTAATTGGTTGACGATGATGTCTAAGGGATATGCTTTGCTTTGGCAAATTGCACAAAAATATCAAATTTGATACTAGGGCTTGTGTAAAAATAACTATTTTCTTATTAAAAAAGAAATGGAAAAAATAAACTAAAAATATAACTTTATGAGTTAGTTTTTTTCTCAGTCAAAATATTTATAAATTTTTTGATATTTCAAAACAAGAGTTTATTAAATTAACTAAAAAATAAAAGAAATAATAAAATTGGTCCATAAGGAGTATTTAACTTAGTTTCTCCTCTTACAGATTGCTCTAATCTCTTAGATTTACAACTTGATCTTGGGTATAAATTTATTTATTTTTTTATTGAGCTAAAATTGAAATTTATAACAAAAATTTAAGTTTTTTTATTAAATCTTTACTTAATTTGATTATTGTTATTTTATTAACTTATTTTGAATTTTCTTTTTTATTTTAGATTTTTAGCAAAAAATTACTTTGTATTATTTTTTTCTTATTTTTTATTTATTTCGTTAAATAAAAATTAATTTAATATAAATTTAAAGTCATAATGGTCTTGGTGCATAGGGTGCAGCAGTTATAGGTTTAGAATTATCAAAGTTCATAAATATCCAAAATTTAACTGTTTTACTCTAGTAAAAATGATTCTTTAATTTTTCTTTTATAAATAAAAATATTTTTTTGGGTGTTTTTTATGAAGAAAAATAAATTTAATAAATAACAAAAAGTCAAAATTAAATTGGTTCACAGGGTTTAATTGACTTATGTTCACCTTTAGTAAACTGTATTAGCCTTAAAAAATTGGTTCTAGGAGTTGAGTAAAATAATAATTTATTCATTTATATCTACTTTAAAAGTTTTATCATTTTTTAACTCAAATGCTAATATGATATAAATTAAAGAATGAATGAAATTGATCATTATGGAGCATCGAAGATAGGCTAAACTCTATCAAAATTAATTAATCTTTCAAATTTAACACTTTGTTTAGGGTAAAAAGTTATTTATAAATTCTTATTCTTTCTATGAGAGATTAATTGAATACAAGCATTCAATTAATTTACTATTTTATATTTACTTTGTTTTTTATTTTGAATTTGTTTATTTTAAGTTTATTAATTTCAATTCTTTTATTCTATTCTTCAATATCAAAAAATAAGTAAAAAAATATTTTTTTGAATAGTTAAAATTAAATTGGAGATGAAGGTATATCAGGCTTAGGTTGTGGATTTGTTAGCAGTAGTTTACTCTCTACTTTAGTATTAAATTTAGAGTAAGAAATTATTGCTTTTTTAACTATTTCTTAAATTATAAAATGATTATGGAAAACTTTTTTTAAACTTTTTTAATAAAATTTAATTTATAATTTAGATAAAACTTTTTATTTAAATATTTAATTTTTAATTTTAAATTTACTCATGTAAAATAAATATACTTTTTCAAAATAGTGATAACTAGATAGGACCATTGGGTGTTATATGTTTAGCATAATCTTTGTCAAGTTGTACTAATCTTGAAAAATTGATACTTAGTTTCAGGTAATATATTTTTAGACATACTTTATCTTATTCATTGTTATATGATAAATTAACTAGGTTATTTTTTCTTGAATTTTTTAGTTTTAAAACATAATAAATTTTCTTTTGCAGATAATAACTTTTCAATATTATTTAAAATACTGATGTAAATTATATTGTAAGGAAAAGTTTATTGAGCTCATAGAGTGTACAAGAATTATGCTCAGCATTGATAAAATGCAATAATCTCTTTAGTTTGACACTTTCTTTAATGTAAAAAAGTTAGTTTACTTTTTTTCTGAAATTTATGTATTAAATATTATAAAAAGACAAATTGTTTTTGCTCAATTTTTAATTTTTAAATTTATTTTTTTATAATTTAAAATTCAATTTAAATTTTATAGCTGCACAAATATTGATGAAGAGATTTTATTTAATTTAATTACTATTTTGGGAAACTATAATAACCTCTTATACTTTAGGATAGTAGCTTGGTAAAAATATCTAATTTATTTTTATTTAAATTAATTCAAATATGCAATAAATAATATATCAAACTAATTTACTCACTTTATTTTATGCTATTTTAATTTACATTTTTTATTTTCTAAATTCTTTTAAGAAGATTAAAAATAAATTAAATATTTAAATAGTGATAACTAAATTAGTGAAGAATCAAAATCAACATTAAAAAGTAAATTTCTTAAGCTCAAGAAATTAGTTTTCCAGAGTGTATAATTATGATCAGAATTTCTAATAATATTATTATGATAGTATTTAGAAATATTAAGTTTATTTTTTTAAAATAAACAATTTTATGTTTAAAGGGATAATAATTAAATCTTTATTATAAAATTAAAAATTAATTATTTTTTATTGCTACTATAAAATTATTTAAAAAGAATATTTTTTATTTAAAAACCTAGCCTAAAAATATCTAGCTAGAGGTTGGTTGCCATACCACTAGATTTTAATTAGGTTTTTAGCTATATTTAAAAATATTATAAGATATTTTGAAAAAATATTTTTAAATGGCATGTTAAATTAATAATTAAAAAAAAATAGAATTATTGCTAAAATTGAATAGATTAAAAAAAATCTTTTTGATAGATAGATAGATGCATTAAAATAAAACAGGAACTAGTTTGTATAAAGGAAATTAATAATATAAATTTAAATAGTAATTTGATAATAAATATAGAATTTAAATTAGCATTTAACATCTAATAATTTTAAATATAGTTGAGTGAATAGAATTTATAAATATTTTAATATATTTCTTGAATTCATTTCATTAAATAGCCTGGAATTACTTCTGTTCCTACTTGCATATCTGCTTAATAGATTGATATGCAAATAAATGATATAAATGTTAAATTTTTGATGCTGGCAACTGTATTAAATCTATATATTTCTTTGGCTTTCATTTAAAATGTACTGAAATTATTTCATATATTAATTATTTCCCTTATATTTAGCTCATGTTTTTTGCATTTAATTTAAAAAAGAAGTCTCTGCATAAGAATTGTAATTTATTTATTTGTTTGTTTGTATGTATGTATGTTTGTTTATTTGAGATTGTTAATCTGTCTGTTTTAATTGAATGAAAAGCTCTTACTACAAAGAAATAAGTAGACCGACCAATATTAATAATAATAATTATGAATGATATTTAAGAGTTTTCAGTTTCAATTGTGTACTTGAGCTTAATATTTTTTCTTAATTTCTTCGACATTTTATCTCTTTCCGAATAAATAGGGCAAAGGTTCTTCAACTTGAGTTTGGACTGGCTTGAGAGCTCCATCAATAATCAATTTTTTGGCATAAGCTTCAATAGGATTAATAATACGGGGATGAGGCTTGGATTATAATTAAGCTTGAATTCTGACTTCATCCAAAACAGCCTTGAAGGAGAATGGTTCATTAATTGCAAGATTAGAAAGTATCTTTCTATCAAGGATAATATTGGATTAATTTAAAGCCCAAATAAATCTATTGTAAGGAGTATTGTGTTCTCTTACGGCTGCATTAATAGTTTGAATCCATTCTTTACGATAGATTCTTCTTCTAGCTCTTCTATCTCTGAATGAATATCTCAAAGCCTTATCAACACGAGGGGCCATAGTACGCAAACAATTCTTATTACGACCAAAGAATCCCCTTGCTAACTTTCTATACTTTTCTCTTGAAAATCCTGTCATTCCTTTCCTAATTTATTTTATTTATTTATCTAAATCCCTTTTTCTTCTTTTCTTTCTTCCCTTTAAAAAGTTTCTTTCTGAATCTTTCTTTTGATTTAATTTTTTACAAACTGCTTGATAATTAATAATCAAAGTAGATTCTTCCAATACTAAATTATCATTTAATTCATATAATAATTCATTTCCTCTATGAAAATTCAATCAATTTGTTTGTTTGCTTGCTTGCTTGTATGCAAAACCATTTTTATTCCTTATCCATACATACATAACTTTGCTTTTAGATAAATCATGATTTTTGTCCATTTTGTTTTGAATGATATCTTTTTATTCATTTCTTATTTTATTAATAAGCATTGAATATTTCATGTATAAATAGCAAGTAATTTGGCATTAAATTCTACTAAGTTTAAATTCATTTTGCTCATTTAATTTCTTTTCATTGTAAAATAAATAAAAAAACATTTCAAACAATATTTTTAATAAGATTTAAACAATATAATTTATATACTAAAACAATAAAAATCTTTTTAAAATAAGCATAAATTATATTATAAAAATAAGCGATTCCTCTATTAATTATTAAATTAAAGATGATTTTATACACTTTTGATGAAAATGATGCATGTTTTTAAATCAATTAATTAATAAAGTATTTATATATTCAAGTTATATATCAACTATTTTGTATTTAATGCTATTATTTTTATAAATTTAATTGTTTACAAAATATTATAAATTGTATAAAATAAATTCTTTTTATTATATTTTAAAAAATAATTATTTAAAAACTATTAAATGCCAGTTTAGCAATCTAAACTATTTAGTTTAAATTGATTTATTTTAGTGATCAGGGCAACCTAAAGAATGGAATTACATTGGATATAACTTTTTATTTATATTTTAAGAAGTTTTCTCCTTTTAACTTAGATTAAGACATGTGATCGTCCATCAGTTTTGCACTTCCAAAGGTGAACATTAAAGTTATGAGGATGGCTCCGATTGGGTAATAAGGTATTAAAAGTTTGGCTTAATGTTTTAAGATATACTCATAACCAATTAAATAAATGCCCCACCAAAAAGATATTTCTCCAAAGTAGTTTGGGTGTCTTGAATATCTCCAAAGACCTTCGTCGATTACAGCTGTAGAATTTTTGGGTTATCTTTTCAAGAAACAATGCAATTACCAATCACTTAAGTATTCTATAAAAATAGCTAAAAAAATCACTAAAAGACCAAGCAATTAAATGAGACTAGGTTCGGTTCTAATAATAGTTTTATCATCAAACATGTACAACAATGGAATCATTCCTAAAAAACAGAAAATAGCTGGAATTCCAAAAAACACTATTAAAGCTACTGGCCACCAAATTATTTTCTTCTTTACTTGGTTCTCAAAATCTTTATATCTAAAATCGATGTGTGGAAATCCTTTGAACTAAGTTGACCATAAAGAAGCCAATCTAACAGCCCAAATGTTAACCAAAACAACAACTAACATGCCAAATACATACTTAGTTTTAAATACATAAAAAGCAACTCTATTAAATCTCCATAGCACAAATAGAGTCCAATAAATATCAATAAAACTGATATTGTTCATGAGTATCGAAGAAATATAAATGAATGCATTTACGCAAGCTATGTCAATAATCCAAACGTATTCCTTAGACAAATTCTAAAAGAGAGGATATTAAGGTAAAATATCTGTTTAAACATACTTGCTGAACTCATCCGCTATGATATAGGCACTTACAATCAAGGCTATTGAAATTATTTTTCTAAACACCATATTTATTTATATATTCTTTTGAGTTAGTATCTAATTTATATGCAAAATATCTATAAAATTTTCTTTATTACAATATTAAATTCAAAATAAATAATTAAATGCTTTGTATTGGATTAATAAATATTATTTCGAGTCAACAAGTGAGTGAAATGCCTTATAATATTATTTAAGTAAATTAGATATTTTCAAATACTTTTTCACTCTCTAATTAACTAGCTAATTATTAACACATAATTATAAAAGTAATAAAGAAATTAAAAGAAAGAATCAAAATAAATACAGTTTTTATATTATTCACATAAAATTAAATCTTTAGTCTTTGTAATTAAACCTAACAAAAACAAAGTAAACACATATTTAATTGAGGATGATATCTTTACCAATATATTTTGTTTATGCTTTTAAAACATTCATATATAACATTAATAATAGTAAAGTAGAAATTATATCAATATAAATTAATGCTCTTAACTATGTGTAATTGATAGTTCCATTAAGTTAAGTACAAAAAAATTTCGCTTAAATGCAAATATTTTAAAGAGTTTTTACAAATAAATAATAATAGCTTCTATATAATTCAATTAAAATATCCATAGCGCAGCGCTTCACTCTACAAAGATTTAGATAATGGATAAAAATTTAGCTAAAATATAAAGATTAGATATAAAAATAAACTATTTTTTATCTAAAATAAATATAAATGGATAGAAAATCATTTTTAACAAAGATCTAAATAGTTCTCTTTAGCAAAATTGAATAATCTAATGCATAAATCTGATGTTTTTATTTAACTCCATTTTTACTTTTATAGAAAATAAGCTGTGATAAAACTAAAAAATAACATTTAATATTCTTTTTAAAATAAACAGTTTTTAAAGTGCAATTATTGAGTTTCATAATATTAAGTATTATTTTGTTAATTTTTAAAGGTTTGTATAAAATTATTATTCATTTATTTCTTTGTAGTCCAAAAAAAAATTTTATCTATTTAAAATATTTAAAAAAATATATTTTATTTGAAAAAAGACTAGGTTAAAAAAGACTTATGATTAAGATAAAAATTCAATGATTTTAACTAAAATATATATCCTACTTTGAGTAATACATCAATGAATCTTATCTCAAAAAATAATTTTCTTAGAAACTCTCAAATTTAACTCAAATATCAAATAAATTAACACAGAAATTCAAACAAAGATTTGTTATTTTGATTACAAACACACAATGTTTTTATAAATTAATAAATGTATAAAATTCTCAAGCACAGTAAGGTTCTCCTAAATGATGCTAAGGAATAATACATTCAGCTGAGCAGCAATATTTACAATCGTGTACCTCGATACGTGTTTAAGAAGCGATACAATCTTTTTTACGATCCTATTTATCTTATTCAGATCTAAAATTTTCAGCTTAAGCATAAGGCAAAGCTATTAAAGCTAATACAGCAATAATGCAAATAATCTTAAAAAATCTCATCACTTTTAAATTGTTTATGGTTTTTTATATTTTTTGATTTAAAATTTTTCTAATTTATTTTATGATTAAGTAGACCTATTTTTAAAATATAAACTGCATTGAACAAAAATTTAAGCTGGTTCACTATCCTATTGATTTTTTAGCCTGTAATTTAATTATTCCATTATCTTGTCTAGAAAATTAGAAAACATAAAAAAATTTTCAATTCATGCTTATTAAAGGATTTTAATCTTATCTCCTTTAAATGAAAAATAAATATTAAAAATATATTTTATCTGATTTAAATCTAAAAAGATACCTTTAAATGATTATTTTATAAAATAATTTTCAATTTCTTTATTTGTTTAAGATGTATTTTTGATTTATGAATTATTAACTAAATAAATAATAATCAAACAAATTTACATTAAAAGATAAGATTTATTTTTTTGTTTTGAGATTCAATAAGTAGAAATAGAACTACTTAAGAATTTATAATACAAAACTAAAAATATATTTTAAAATGTGTTTATTTTTTATCTTAAATCATTTTCAATAAAAATTTTTAATTTTTTAGGCAAGTTCTAGATAAAATTTAGTGCTATCTTTAGGAATATTTAAAAACTCTTTTTTTAGTCTTAATTCGATTTACGTTTTAGATTTATTAAGATATCTAAAGTAGTCCTTGTTAATTATTTCATGAGTAACTTTGTTTTACTTTGGTTCATTCATTCTGAAAAATTATAAATATCACTTTATTAATTATATTCATTATTTAACACAAATTCTTAAAGCTTTCTAAAAGTAATATTAGCCTTCATTTCATTAATCTTCATTTTAATTATTCAAACAAACATACTTTGATTTATCTTCCTATTTCTAACTATGATAGTAAATTTGATGATATCTAAGATTAAATAATTGAGTACATGTGAAAATTATTTTCATTTAATTAACCCTCTAAGTATTTTAATTCTTCAAAAGAAAATATTTTCTATAGCTCAATTAGATAATAAAAATACTCTAATTTTTAAATTTAATCTTTTCACTTTTTATACATACTTTTCAATATGTTTAGATCCTTCTGATTTTTTTGAATTGAGACATTTTGCGATTCTAGCTAATGAAATGAAACATTTAATTGTAAGAATAGCTTATTATTCAACTTCCTTCATATCAATTTGAGAATTACCATGCTATGATTTATATTAATAATCCTTTTTCTTAAATTTAACAAAAAAAATACTAATTCTGCAATATTGAAATTAAATAAAAATATATTAAAAAGCTGAGTGCAATAATCAAGCAATCATAAACAATCAAAAGAAAATAATATAATAAAAATTAGGGCTTCAATAATTAATTGGTTTCTTTGGTTAAATTATATAAATGGAATAACTTTATTTCAACCCTAAGCTCTCTATTATTTAAATCATTCAATGAAAAGTAAGTTTTAATTTTTTTACTAAAATAATTAATCATTTTTAGATTTTATTTTGACTAAAATATTCTATTATAAGATTTTTAAGCTTTCCTTATTAAAAATTTATTAAGTAGTTATATAATTTAAAATCAGATTTGTTGTATGGTATTTCTATCAAAAATCTGATTAATCTGCATAATTAATAAATTAAAATAGACTAAAATAAAAAAGGTTTTTTAGAAAGATCTGTCTTTATTAAAATAGAAAAATAAATAAAAGAGTTTTCTAGAAAGCTCTATCTTTCGTAATTAAAAACACTCCATCTTTTCTATATTTTTTAGCTATTTTGTATTCATCAAGTATGAAATATATATAATGCGGTCAAAAAAGAAAGTTGGACCTGTCTGCTTTGATATTTAAAAAATAATGCTATTTATTTATTAATCATTCTGTGTTTATATTAGATTTCCCCCCTGTTCTTGATTTCAAATCAATATTGTAAAACTTATTAAATGATAAAAATAAGGTCAGTCACACACATCACTTGTAAAAGCGAAGGTATTTTATTTAATAATTATTCAAATGTATATACAAAAAATCCACAACATACATTGTATTTTTATAGGATTTTACTCCTTTATCTCTATTTGCTGCTACAGAGAAATATTACTTAAAGATTATCTATTACATTAAATTTTTCTATTTTATTTTATAAAAATTGAAATACTAAAATTATCTAATAAAAGAATAAAGAAAAGATTAAATATTTTGAATTTTAAAAGACAAGTGTTTCTCGAAACCTATTTCTATTTTTCTATATTAATTTTACATTTAATTAAGTAGATGAAAGTTTTTGATAGAAATACCAGACGACTGGCAGATATGAGATATGTATGAAATTAAATTATTTATATTAAAATTTTATAAATAGTAAAATTAAATATTTTAAGCAAAATCAAATACAAATATGATCAAACTGCTACACTCTAGTAAGAATAAGTTAAATTTTGCCTTTTATTATGTTAAGAAATAGCAAGGCTAGGGGTTAAAAGTTATTTAATTAAATTAAACCTAAGATTATGCATCGTATTTGAGACCCTAATTTATATTTAAGAATTAGTATTATTTTTCTTAAAGTTAAAAAAATTAATAAGAATAAGATAGATCATACCAAGAATATGGGAGAATTTATTGTGAGGATGAAGCAGAATATACTATTTTTATTTCTGCAACCATTATAATTTTATCACTGTTTGGTGTTTATTAATATATCTAAAATAAAAAACCATTAGGAATTAAGCAAATTGAAAAGTACAAAAAGGAAAAAAATTTAATTTAAAAATTAGAGTATGCGTATGATCTAATTGAGTTATAAAGAGATTTTTCTTTAGAAGAATTAAAGTAGTTAGAAGATGAGTTAAATGAAAACGATTTTCTTTTGCTCTCAATTATTCAATCTTAGATAGCAGCAACATTATTATCATAGCCAGAAACAGGAAGATAAATCAAAGAAAGGTTGAATGATAAAGATAAAAATAATTAATTAAAGGAAGGTTAAGATTACATTTAGAAAAGCTTTAAGAATTTGTGTTAAGTAATAAATAATAATAAATAAAATGATATTAAAAATTTTCAGAATTTATCAAAGTAGAACAAAGTTATTCATGAAAGATTAACAAGAATTGTTTTTGATGTCATACTCAATCTAAAATTTACATAAAATAAAGATTAAAAAAAATAGTTCTTAAATATTCTTAAAGCTAACGCTAAATTCTATCCATAATTAGCCTACAAAATTTCAAAGTTTTATTGAAAATCATTAAAGATAAAAAACTAATAATTATATGAAAGTAGTTATTTGCTTCTCTCATGTATAACAAACAATGTATTTTTAGCTAGCTTTGTATAATAACTTTTAAATTTCTCTATCTCTACTTTTTGAATCTCAAAATAAAAAAATCAATCTTACCTTTTTTTATTAAATTGTATTAATATTCGTTTCGTTAATAATTAATAGAATTATAACACTTAAAAATAAATACATCTTAACCATATTAATAAATTCTACATTATATTAATCTGTAAAATTAATTAAAAATTTATTTATAATATGAAATAATAAGAAAATAAAAAACGAGTTAAATTAGCAAACAAAAAAATAAAGTATATAAAAAACTAAACAAAATAAATCCAATTAATTTTTCAACTATAAATATAGACGAAAAAATATAGAACTAATTAATTAGCTAGTTAGAAAGAAAAAATAAAGACAAAAAATAAAAAAATAAATGATAATCAAAATAAAATTTGAGTGAAAATTAAGTAAAAATCATTAAAAAATATTTGCAAAAATAAAAATTGAATATTGTTGATTGATGATAATTTCTACTATAAAAATAATTGTAAATAAATTGAAAATCAAAATTAAAAAACAATAATAAAATTAATAAATTAGATTAAATATACTTCAGAGCAACATGGAGAATCTAATGAGATTAAAGTGAAGAGTTTAAAAACTTTTTTTATTAATAAAAATAAATTTAAACAATATTAATAAGAAAATAAATATTTACTTCTACTAAATTGTTATAATAATTTTTCTATTATATCATATATTTTTTTTTTCAAAAATATTCAAAAGCAATTTATGGTAATTTAATTAATTAATAAGAAGTAAGTAAGTAAGTATATCAATAAATTAAATAACTTTTATTTTAAATTAATTTCGATAAAAAGAACAAATAAAATTATAATAACTACTAAATATAAATTTATTTGCTTATAGGAGGAAAATAGCAAAAAGGTTTGTGTAAAATTTATTATCAATTTTTAATATTTCTATTTTAATCATATATTTAATAATATAGTAAGAGTTGGAGATGGAATAAAATGACTTTGAGAACATAAACTAAGTAAACTTTTTTTTACATTTTAACCTAATTTTGCATGAAAATATGTTAATATTTATTAATTTTATTATTTAAAAAAATAAATTTCTTAAGTAAATTAATCTAAAATAATAATCGTTTTATTGTATGTAACTCATTACTTTATTTTTTTAAAAAAGAAAATTTAAAAAATATAATTAGATAAAAGTCTTAAAATTTATTTAAAAAACACAAATTAAAAAAAATATAATTATTTAAAATAATCTTCCATTTTTTAATAAAGTAATTTTCAAAATAAATTTGATAATTATATCAATAATCTTATAAATAAATTAAAAAATATTTTTATTTAATTCAAAAAAATAAAAATTCAAAAATCTGATATAATATAGAATCTTTATATTGATTAATTTTGAAATTAGTCATTTTAGGGTTACAAATTCTAAAAATTAAAAATACTATCATTTTTAATGTTTAAAAAAAAAATATTTAAAATTTAAACAACTACGATATATAAAACATAAAAATTTTTATATCATTAAAATAATATTACATTTAATATTACAGTATAATTCAGGTTATTAATATATTTTGATAACAAACAAAATATAAATAGGAAATAAAAAAGAGCATCACTG